GAATTCCAGATCACTTTGTTTGTTTGTTTGTGTGAACGTCAACTGAACTGGTCATTGTGTTTTATGTTGTTTGCTTGGGCTCGATTTATTATCCGTAATGCAATGTCATCATCAACGACACCTCCATTATCATCATCATCACTACCAGATTTTAACTTCATAATCCCTAATCATTCTAAAACAGTGATGATTTATGAGTTAATTAGGAATGAAACCTTAATGATAATTGAGACAGTTTAGAAGCTGCAATTAGGACTGAAACCCATTTTAACCCGTCACGTAATAAAATGTGGTCAGGCTATGAGCGTATGTCTAGCTTACTGTCACTAATTATAGTTACTCTGGCATGAGGATGTTGCCCTATGATATAAACATTACCATTTTGTCTTCCAGGATTACACCAGCCAGTGATATAGATGGATAATGGGTTGTGATTTGTTGGTGGCGTCTTATGAGGTTTTGGTAAATTATGGCGCAAATGTCACCCGTATCCCGTTTCAATAAGATCTAGTCTATTATGCCTTATCTGAATGGTTGTTAGTCCGAGATAACACAATTCAGGAATCATCTTAAAGTCACTCAGGGTGTTAAGTGTTTCTGGAGGAGGTAGAGTTTCCATGCCTGTGTACAGTAATCAGACTAGGATGTGCAGTACTTGAAATTTGTTCACATTAAGGAGCATTTTTCCTATCTGTTTAGTTACGATAGATGAAGTTAGTGTTATGTTAGGGTTAGATTAAGTTAAGGATGCGTTAGGTTATAGTTTAAGTTAACTTGGGTTAGGTTGTAATAGAGGTAGATTAGGTTAAGTTAAATTGGATTAGGTAAAGTTACACGAGGGACGGGTTAAATAAAATTATACTTGAGGTAAGTTAGGTGAAGATTAGATTAAGTTCGATAAGGTTACGAGTAAATTAGGAGCAAGGGCTGATGATCGTGGCTGACAGCGGCTGACATTATCTGACGTGTAGTGTGTGACTGTCAGGAACACCTTTGAGGATAATGAGCTGAGTCATGCGTGTGGTGGTGGTGGTGGTGGGAGGGTCATGCAGGTCTTCATAAACAAGAAGATATGCCCCACTAGAGTTACACCACGCCAACACCACAGTAACCTAACCTAATCCTCCTAACTTAACCTATCCAAATATAACAATATAAAATACATTAACCTAGCCAATCCTACTTTAACCTAATTTAACAATATACGTTACCTTAACCTAATTAAAGCTATAATAGCCTAACCTAACCAAAAGTACCTAACCTAACCTAACCAAAAGTACCTAACCTAACCTAACCTAACCTAACCAAACCAAAAGTACCTTATCTAACTTAACGTCCACTACCTTAACCTAACCTGACCTACATTAATCAAGCGTAATCAGCTACCATAACCTAATCTAACCTACACTACCTTAACCTAACCAAACAATCACCTTAACTTAATTTAAATATACTGGTATGATTTGTCCAATGGTGTTTAGTCCATTAGGAAATAGTCCTGTGGTATATTGCCCGTAGAACATTGACTTGACTCAGGTAAGAAGAGAATTTATGGGACAGAATATTTGTTGTATAATAAACCACCTGTTGTATTAAACCAGACCACAGGTATACCAAGGGGGTCTATTTTTAAACCCACTAAACCTATTAAGATGATTGAAGATAAGCTTATGACGCGTGGAGCACCATTACCGTGTTGGTTTGTTTGGTACGTGTTCATAACGTGTTTAAAATATGTATGGATAGAAGAAAACTTGGAATAAGCTATAATGGACCGGAACACGAGCTGAATATGATCAGTATATGAACTAAAATGACTAGAACATGAGCTGAACATGATCAGTATATGAACTAAAATGACCAGAACATGAGCTGAACATGATCAGTATATGAACTAAAATGACCGGAACATCACATAATAATGGAGGAAACTGCAGCGGGCCTATTGGCCCCTCGTCGGCAGTCCCATTTACACCTAACCCCTATTGCTCATATATCCATCCAGCCTATGTTTGAAGCTATCCAGCGTATTCGAGTTAATGATGATGTTTGGTAACTTGTTCCACTCGTCCACTACTCTATTTCCAAACCAATGTTTACCTATTTCGCGCCTAAATCTAAATTTGTCTAATTTAAAACCACTGTTATGGGTTCGCTCCTGGTTGGATAGTTTGAGTACCTTTGTAATGTCCCCTGTGTTCATCCCTGACTTCCATTTATACACCTCTATCATATCGCCCCTCACTCTACGTCTCTCGAGGGAGTGCAGATTAAGATGCTTTAACCTGTCTCTGTACTCAAGGTCCTAATGCCCGGGATTAGTCTTGTCATTCTCCTCTGAATTCTTTCCAAGGATTCTATATCCATTCTGTAATACGGTGACCAGAATTGAACTGCGTAATCCAAGTGAGGTCTCACAAGAGCAAGATACAGTTTTAGGATGACCTCGCTAACCAGAACACGACTTGAATATGAATAGAACACGAACTGAACATGGCTGTACATAACTGAACTTTTTTTTGCGTGGATGGGTGTGTATTGTGTGTGTGTGTGTGTGTGTGTGTGTGTTTTGGTTGTATGTATTTTGGTTTTGTGTATGTGTGTTTTGGTTGTGTGCGTACGTGTGTGTGTTTTTTTATGTATGTACTGTATGTGTGTGGGGGGAAGAACAAGTCAACACCATTATCACATGAGAACACGACACCATTGACGTCACCACGCTGTTATAACCAACACAAAAAACATTAATTATTACCCGCTCTACCTGGATTGAGGAGGTCACTTGATCACGTAATGCTGTCTGTCTGTCTGTCTGTCAGGGTGTTATGATCGTGATAACTATAACCAAACTTAATCAGTGGTTTAGGTTAGTTTTTTTTGGGTGTGATATTGGGTTGAGGTGGAGTTCGAGTTGTGACCCACTTGAGTGTTGTGATGGCGTGTTGGAGTACTTGTTTTGCCCAGATTATTATTATTATTGTAATTATAATAATAATAATAATAATATAAAATACAAAAAGAAAATACCCCCTTAACCGTTCAATCCCCTTATGTTGTTATCTTATTTTACGTCAGTCCTCCTTCGTTATCACCCCTCCCTCCTCTTCCCTCCTTCACCACCCCACGTAAGAATGCCACAGGAGGGGAGGAGTGAAAGATAATGAGTTAGGTGATAATATTTTTTTACCTGGTGTGTGGTATGTCCCTAATTGGCTGGTTCACCTTATATTAGTGTTAGGTAATGGTTCAGAGTTTAATGTGGAGGTATTCTGTGGGTGGAAGGAGGTACTGGTGAAGGAATGTGTAAATCCTTCTTTCACACGCATACATACATACATACATACATACATACATACATACATACATACACAGACACTCACTACATCAAACATACAGTACCAGACACACACTAGGTGGGGCCAATGACTCTACTGGCCATTATGATTTCCGGGTCACATCTTGATCCTGTTTTCCTTGCACCTGAACCTTGTGTGTGTGTGTAATAATAATAATAATAATAATAATAATTAACGGTTTATTGAAAAAGTTCTGCAGCCCGAAGGCTGAAAATATACATTGGGCATAAATGACTTATTACATACATTGGTGGTTTAACAAAAGCCTTCATTAGAGAAAGGTAAAGGAACATACAGTGAACATACAGATTATTGTAGGTGTTGAACAGCAAAAACGTAGTATAGTAACTCCCTCCCAGATGGTGTTAGGAGGGACCTCACGTGGTGTAGTAGTTCCCTCACAGATGGTGTTATGAGGGGCCTCACGTGGTGTAGTCCCTCCCAGATGGTGGGGGGACCCGTGGTGTAGTTCCTCACAGATGGTGTTATGAGGGGCCTCACGTGGTGTAGTACCCTCACAGATGGTGTTATGAGGGGCCTCACGTGGTGTAGTAATTCCCTCACAGATGGTGTTATGAGGGGCCTCACGTGGTGTAGTAATTCCCTCACAGATGGTGTTATGAGGGGCCTCACGTGGTGTATGTGAATTCCCTCACAGATGGTGTTATGAGGGGCCTCCGCGTAGTGTAGTAACTCCCTCCCAGATGGTGTTAGGAGGGACCTCATGTGGTGTAGTAATTCCCTCACAGATGGTGTTATGAGGGGCCTCACGTGGTGTAGTAACTCCTTCACATATGGTGTTATGAGGGCCCTGACGTGGTGTAGTAATTCCCTCACAGATGGTGTTATATGAGTGAGGTGTGGTTCCAGGCCTTCCTATCGTAGACGGATTAACACATCGCTGGTAGTTGGGTCTCACTGGCCGTTATCACTGGGTACCTGGGACCTCACTGTGTGAAAGGTCAACTTGGGTACCACTGTTACTGTTGAGTTGTTCTCACTGACTTAAGCACTGTTCACCACTGTTCACCTCTGTTTAACACTGGTTCCATTTCTTTCCTAAATGAAATAGTAACTTCTGGCGTGAACTTGTTGATATTCCGGTGGGGAGGAGGGTTCAGGGGAGGGAGTTGGTATGGGCCAACTTAACAGTTGACCTGGCTGCTCCGAGAGGGGCGCCAGGTATGTCTTGACCCTTCGGTGGTCAAGGATGTAGTGTGTGTGTGTGTGTGTGTACCTTACACGAAATGGTAAACCCTTTACTACGAGTGATTCAGGTATTTAACGAATGAGACAGATGTTTAACGAGTGACGTAGATATTTAACGAGTCAGGCATGTTTAACGAGCCCAATAGGTGTTTACCGGAGTCTTAACAGGTGTTTGCGAACCCAACAGATCATAATAAGCCGAACAAGTGCGTAACGACTCAAACAGGTGTTTTACTTGAGTGGGGCAGGTATTTAAACTGAATCTAACGACTCCGGCTGAGTGTTTTAACGGAAGTGTGACAGGTGTTTAACAGAGTCCGACGAGAGAGGTGTTCTAACAGAGAGTGAACAGGTGATTAACAGGCCCAACAGATGAAGTATTTTAATTGGCGAAATACTTTCCTGCAGGCATGTGGAAACTAGCGGCGAATGTGAGAAACAGGAGGACAGAGAGATCTATGTGAGGACGACCTAAAGGGAGCTGGTGGTGTACATCATCTTCCTCATCATCCTCTGTATCTGTGAGTACTGACCTCATTGTGTGTAGTGCTGACCTGACCTCTGACCTTGTGTGTGAGTGCTGACCTGACCTCTGACCTTGTGTGTGAGTACTGACCTGACCTCTGACCTTGTGTGTGAGTACTGACCTGACCTCTGACCTTGTGTGTGAGTACTGACCTGACCTCTGACCTTGTGTGTGAGTACTGACCTGACCTCTGACCTTGTGTGTGATTACTGATCTCTGACCTTGTTTAAGTACTGACCTCAACCTTGTGTGAGTACTGACCTTTGACCTTGTTTAAGTACTGACCTCTGACCTTGTGAGTACAGTACTGACCCTTAACCATTTGATCTTAATTTTCATCTTCATAATCAGTAGATAGATAGATGGTAACAATAGATATTAATAGATAAATTAAATAGATAAATAGATATAATAGCTTGATAAATGTATAGGTGTTTATACAGTAAAATCATCATACAAGGGAACATTGATTAGCATAAATACAATATCACTATAGCCTTGTGACCCTCCCTCCCTCCCTCCCTCCCTCATCACCACCACCACACTGTTGCTGGTCACTATGGAGGCAAGACTACAAACAGCTATGCCACACTATATATAGCACACCTGGCGCCCTCACTAACACCTACTGTAGCTCGTTATTAAGCTTATTTAACCATATCCTAACCGAACTTAAACCATTCTTAACCTAACTTAAACCATATCCTAACCTAACTTAAACCATATCCTAACCTAACTTAATCCATTCTTAACATTAACTTAAACCATTCCTAACCTAACTTAATCCATTCTTAACATTAACTTAAACCATTCCTAACCTAACTTATCAAAACTCAACTTTACCTTCACAAACACTTCACTGACTTTAACCTAACCTACTTTTCATTAACCAAATCAACTTATCTCTAATTTAACCTACCCTAACTTAACTTGACCTAATATTATATCCCCCTTTCCAGTGACCTTTGGGATGACCTCGCCCACCATGTACTACTATACCAAGGTGTTGAGTGACCTGTTTCTTGACGCACCTTTCCCGGACACCAAGAACACCTTCAGGGGGTCAACCCAGGTCATGGATTTCTGGAGGGTACGTGCTTAAAGTATAATCTGGGGTCACTTGGGTCAGGTTCTAAATGTAAAGCACTCAGTATAGGAGATGTAAACCAGATACCAGATGAACAACGATGTTATTGAAAAATCCGACTGCGAGAAGGATTTAGGAGTAATGATAAGTAGTGTATTTGCTCGAAACAAGGCTTATAAAGTACTTGGGTTCATACAAAGGAGTGTTAGTTACAAGACTAGCGAGGTCATCCTAAAACTATACTGTATCTTGTGCTTGTGAGACCTCACTTGGATTACGCATTTCAATTCTGGGTCACCGTACTACAGAATGGATATAGAATCATTGGAAAGAATTCAGAGGAGAATGACAAGACTAATCCCGGGCATTAGGACCTTGAGTACAGAGACAGGTTAAAGCATCTTAATCTGCACTCCCTCAAGAGACAAAGAGTGAGGGGCGATATGATAGAGGTGTATAAATGGAAGTCAGGGATGAACACAGGGGACATTACAAAGGTACTCAAACTATCCAACCAGGAGCGAACTCGTAACATTGGTTTTAAATTAGACAAATTTAGATTTAGGAGCGAAATAGGTAAACGTTGCTTTGGAAATAGAGTAGTGGACGAGTGGAACAAGTCGCCAAATATCATCATTAACTCAAATACGCTGGATAGCTTCAAACATGGTTGGATGGATATATGAGCAATAGGGGTTGGGTGTAAATGGGACTGCCCAGTACGGGCCAATAGGAGGGGATATATTTTGGGTCATTTTAGGTCAGTGTAGGTCAGCCATTCTTTTATGTCAATAGTTTACCTGACCACCTGAGGGAGTTGCTGAAGCTGAATTCTGACCTGACTCTCTTTCTCATCATAGAGTTTAGGATGAGAAAGAGAGTGAGATATACATCAAGAGAGGAGATGAATAGCTTGAGAGATGATCCCCCTATGATAAGAGTTAATGTTTAAATCTTCTAACAGTTCATGGGATAATATATTCTTGGGTGAACTTCTGGGAGTATTGGTATAAGAGGGAGAGGAAAATATACCATAGATCCTGTACTGTAGAGAGACTGAGAGAGATACACATACAGGACCTACGTAACGGAGACATATACAGGACCTACATAACGGAGACACATACAGGATCTACATAACGGAGACACATACAGGACCTACATAACGGAGATACAGTAAAATACCTAAATTTATTCCCAGTTCATGGAGAATATCTTGCTGGACGGACTCTACTGGGAGTATTGGTACGACCCGACGCCCACCCCAACCGAAGAAGACGACCGTAACATACTGTACGAGAACCGCATGCTAGGGGTACCTCGCATACGACAGGTCAGTTACTTAATCGCTTTCCATATAGTAATGCATTGTAAGTCACTGCCATATGTCCATCAATCTGAGGACAATCTACCGATGAATCTATTACATTACCTGTACAGTACTTTAAAATTTGTATGTGTAAGTTTATGATGATGGAAAGATAGATATTGATGACCATAACTATTATCCTCTTATAAGAAATGGTTATGGATAGATGAACGCTTAGTATAGAGAAAATTAAACACCATCGTCACTATTTTAGGCTTCACGGTGAACACTTCTCCTCGGAAAACTTTTTGACTGATGCCACATTCGTCTTCACTCTTCTGTGTTGTATTTTATCATCTCCTGTATTTCTTCCCAGGCTTCACGTACCGGGGAAATAACTGGAGTTTATTTTGTTTTTAACCCTGGATGTAGAATTGATAAAGTTTGATCCTTTACAGGTACGAGTTCGAAATGACTCTTGCTTAATACCCGAAAACTTCCAGAGAGCCATCAATCAGTGCTTTGATGTGTACTCTGATGCTGCCATAGACACAAATTCATTTGGGAACGGCAAAAACTCGACAGCGTAAGTGTGGTGATAGTTGTTGTTGTGGGGTGCTGGTTATAGGAGTATTAGTAGTACAGTAATTATAGTAGTGGTAGTAATAAGTAGTACTGTACATAGTAGTTTTATTAAAAATACATTATTAGCCTCACCACACCAACACTGCCATAAGGTCGGTTGTAGCAGTAATAAACTGAACTGTACTGCACTGTAGTAGTAGAGGGCAAATAGTCATGGTAGCATAGTAGTGGGGTGGGTATGTAGTAATAGTTTTAAGTTTTCTCCTGCTGAAAATTGAATTGTTATAAGTAGCTTTATTTACTTTAGTATCTGGAAGACATGAACAAAATGGTACTCTGACATGTGACACTTATGAACACTCATTAATTACTCCTCTCAGGTGGACGTTCTACTCAGAGAAGGAAATGAATGGCTCACAACACTGGGGGAAAATTGCAACATACACTGGTGCTGGGAGTTACCAGGTGAGTTACTGGGGAGTTACTGGAGAGTTACCATCATTTTCATCATCATCATCAGCAACATTTTACAACCATTTTCCTTGCCTTAATTATTTTGTCAAGAAGAAATCATCATCATCAACATTTCACAGCCATTGACCTTGCTTGTGTAGGTCAAACGTGGTTATTGGCATGGTGTTCTAGTGACCATGAGGTTAATCTTAAGCAAGTTTTACCTCTGTATGCCCAACCTTTCACCAGAGTGGGTCAATGAGGGTCTCAGGTACCTTCAATAAGTAGAGTTTTCCCTCCACATTTTAGGAGAGTTTTAACCCATTTTGTTGTTATGGTATCAAGGAGTCTTAGACACCTGTAATTTACTTTGTTCTTCCCATCTTTTAAACATTTTTATTTCTTTGCTTTACTGTTCTTTGTGGTTACAGTTGATTTATTTGCTCTACAGGATCTTGGCTTAAACAAGACTATGACTAAAGCCATTCTTGCTGATCTGCGAGAAAACTTGTGGATTCAGAGAGGAACTCGTGTGGTCTTCATTGACTTCACAGTTTACAATGCCAACATCAACCTCTTCTGTGTTATCAAGTAATTGATTGATTACATGTACTGTACTGTACTGTACTGTACTGTACTGTACTGTATCTACATGACAAAAATCCACACAGTGAATGCCTTTCCTGACTGTCTAACTGAGAGAACTTTCTGAGGTTAACATGAAGATTAATCCCCAACTTATTTCAACTTATAATTAAACATCGTAATCCTACCTGGGGGGGGGGGTTGATTAGGTTAGGTTAGCATAAGAGTGTCTACTGATAATCATCAAGTGAAATAAGCTGGGTGCTTAATCTTCACTTGATTGCTTGCTGATTCTACATCTCTCTCCCCCCCCCCCACCACCCTGCTCCTTGTGTTTCATTTAGATGTAAGTAAGAAATATTATATGCACCCTACAATGATATCCTGATATCTTATAAGATATCCTAAATATATTTCTTATTTTATTCAAACTTGGTCCAGAACTGAAAATAAGGAGTTGTTCTTTGAAAACCTTAGTACTGCATGTAAGTTTAGCAGTTGATTACTAAATATTATACATCATTAGCTCTTTCTTATATTGGAATGACTTACAGTTTGGTTACATGTACACCAGGGGTTTTGTTGGCTCATTCCAGGGGCACCCCACTTCTCCCAGCAATGAATATGTATACAGCAGTAGAACTTACAATCAAGTGTGGTGGCAACTGCTTTCTTGTGTACCAAAACTAGGCTTAGTATACAATGTGTTCTGTGTCCACACTGCCCCTAGTTTGTCATTAGAGTTATGGGACCCACTTCCACATGTACTTCATAGTTTTACTAACAGGAGAATGTTATGTATATAAGAATTTCAAAATCTTTGGCAAAATTATAGTGAAAATGCACCTTCAGAGTATTCAGCTATTAATGAAAGATTATTTCCAGATTGTTGTTTGAGTTCCCTGCAACCGGCGGCGTCATTCCCTCGTGGTCCTTCAGAACGGTAAAACTTCTCCGCTATGTCACGGCCCTCGACTACTTTATTTTGGCGTGTGAATTCATCTTTATCTTTTTCATCGTCTACTACATCATCGAAGAAGCTTTGGAAATTAAAACACTTAAATGCGACTACTTTAAAAGTGTGTGGAACTTACTGGATCTACTGGTGATAGCGGTGAGTATAGTGATGATAATGACAATATATAACACTTCTTGCTGTATATATTATTGTGTCTTAGGTTACTGTGTATTGGGCAGTATGATAGATAACAGTTTAAAAATCAGATATTAATTAAAACCTTCAAGTACAAACAGGTGCAGTCGAAATACTAGGCACTAATTTTGTTCATTAGGCAGGTGATACATCAATAGTGAACATTTCAATTGTCATATACAATAGAAGAAGAATTTTTTGTAATTTACTTTTACCTTTTCATCACTGGTCAGCTCTCTTGCCAGTTAGGTAGTCATTCCCTTCTCTCACTGTTGACAAGTAATGGACATCTACAGGCTCTAGAATATACCCAAACATGTTATTTTCCAGATTTCATTGGTGTGTGTAGGCTTCAATGTTTACTGCATCCTCTCCATCTACCACAAGCTTGAAGAACTCTTATCAGACCCCAACACCTTTGCTGACTTTGAGTTCCTGGGATACTGGCAGATGCAGTTTAATAATGCCGTGGCTGTGTGTGTGTTTTTTGCCTGGTTCAAACTGTTCAAGTATATCTCTTTTAACAAGACCATGACTCAGCTCTTCTCTACTCTGTCAAGGGTGGGTCATTATACCAAGGACTTAAGACGTTTGGGATCTGATGAAACTAGGAACCCCCATTTGTTTCACCTGATGATTAAACAGCCACATACAGTAATCTAATCTGACCTAAACGCCCTATTTAGTATCAGGATATTTATTTATCATGTGAACCAAGTTGGGGTTCTTAATAGTCATGAGATCTGACATTTGAGCTCAAGCATTTAGGCCACCTTAGCTGAGACTCATCATTATCACCATCAGTGTTTGGCTATTTTTCACACTTGCAGGGGTCAGCTGTACAGTATCTTTAAATATCTTCATTGTAGTGGATCATATACAACCATATTACATCATCTTGCACTGAAACACTGTCCTTGTGTGGAACAAATGTAGAATTATTTAAAAGTGATGTGAAGTCTGTTTCTCTGTAGAGTTGTTCAGTGTAATTGCGTTTATTCTTGCTAAATATCAAGTGGAGTACGAGGTGTCATTTCCCCATCTTGTGCTGACAGTGATTACTCCAACAGTGTGCTAAAGACGTGGCGGGCTTCACCATCATGTTCTTCATTGTGTTCTTCGCCTTCTCTCAACTGGGTTACCTGCTCTTCGGTACTCAGGTATGTCACATATGTGCAGTTTGATAATTAATTTATTAATTCCACCACTTATCAACCTATTAACTGTTGAGGCACTTGATCTAATCTGTGTTGGTAGATATTTGTTCTGTAAAATTGGCATACAAATTCACCCTTGGTTCAGCAGCATACAGTGCAGGTATACAGTGCACCATGTGCAGTAAATAAACAATGTTGGTATAAAGTATATTTATACCTGTACTGTACTGTATATACTACAGACGATGCAGGTACTGTATATAGTTCAGCATGTATAAAGATAATGCAGGTATACATTTATCTTTATACATTTCTAAAGTTTATTACAGGATACTACTGTTCTTGGCATTAGTCCTTCCTTGAGTAAATAATGTTTATCTTCACAGGTATATGATTTCAGCAGTTTTATCAACGCTATGTTCACCTTACTGCGAACCATTCTGGGTGACTTCAACTTCCACGAGATTGAAGATGCAAACAGGATCCTCGGTCCTCTCTTCTTCTTATCCTACGTGTTCTTTGTCTTCTTCGTGTTGCTCGTGAGTGATGAGTTACTATATTTCTTTCCGACATAGTGTAAGCAGAGAGCCAGAGGTAGATGCAACCTCACTTTCCACTGGGTAGACTTTTTTCTTTATTTATTATTTGAGAGTGTATCAGCTCACCAGCCATTCAGGTGGTTGATCTGTTCTTTGGTATGACCTTTATTGTCTAGTGTTAGTACTGGAGTGAACACCCTTCTCACAGTCAACCCAGGATTTAGTAATAATAGGTACATGCATTACAGCTGTACCACTAACACCCCTTGTATATCAACAGTCTTGAAGGGACTTGCTATATTTTTCACAAGTACCTGTACAACAATGACTTGAAGTTAGTTGATAGACAGTAAAGTAGATCATGTGGTTGCTTACTGTTATAGAATTGTACTTTAACAATAATTATATAATTTATCCATTTAATTTTTTTATATTTGCTGTTTAGACATGAAATATAATATACCCGGTACTCATCATTGTAAACTTAGTAACTGTGACCTAGAGTTTGACACATTTTGACCTTGAGTAATCTTTGTGTTAAGTCCATTTTTGGTATTTTAACCTTTTTTAGCCAGTGTGCATCTACAGTATTCGTATATCCTACAGTTAAATTTTTCCAGTAAGAGGAGAGTACATTCTGGTTAATAGTTAAATGTACAGTGCTTATTATGCTACTGTACTGTTCTCTCACTTGAATCATATCTAATCTGAACCCATTTCTCTCCTCAGAACATGTTCTTGGCCATCATCAACGACACTTACTCTGAGGTTAAGGCAGAAATTGCAAACCAACGCAATGAATTTGAAATTGCCGACTACTTCAAGCGTGGCTACAACAACATGATGGGCAAACTTGGGAAGAGAGACAAGATAATTGACCTCCAGAATGCCATCAAACTCTCAGATGCCAATAATGATGGCCTTATTACATTTGATGAGATCAGAGTCAACCTCAAGAAGTGAGTTAATTAGAGGTTTAGTGGATGAAAGTCTCATGTCTAAAGGTCCACATCTGTATCTGATTTATGACACTTGTTGATACTGTACTGGCATCTCCAGACATATGAAATGGATCTGTTCAAGATAAAACATTTTTAAATCAAAATTTCATCAGTCAATATTGATTTACATACTGACTTCCATTATATAATTGGAGGTGTGTTCCTACATCATGATCTACCCAGTGCTTGTTTAGCCATAGTCTGAGAGTGATAAGAGATAAAATTACTCTAGATTATTACAGAGAAACCCAGTAGTGTCCTGTACTATATTATATTAAGATTTTCTGAAGGTTTCTTTTACCCACAGATGTAACTTCTCTGATATGGAGATTGAAATGTTCTTTGCTAAGTATGACACTGATGGGAACCGCATGTTGGAAGAAGACGAGGTGAAGAGGATGTTGGCTGATCTTGAGGGACAGAAGGTGGCACTTGATAGTAAGTGTATCACAGTAATGTTTTTGTTTTGATTTTACTGTTGGTCAAGCTGACTAATACATCTACAGGGGGTAGGGGTACCGGTGGTTCGGACCCCCCCCCCTTTTTCATCAGAAAATTCCAATACTTTTTCTTTAATGCAGTATTGTACTTGGGCACTTTTGTAAAGTAAAAAGTAATTACTATTAACCTCAGAATATCTCCTAATATCAATTGTACATGGCTTCAAAATGCAGGTCAGATTTAAAAAAAAACTTTGGGGAGGGAGCTTACGGCACACCCCCAAAAAAACCCCCCAGCTTGATGGGCTCACTGTGCTTGCCATGTTCCCCCACCCACTACTTGATCTGACATGTAGATCAACTGAGATTGATCCTGGAACAAAAAAAATAAATAAATCTTCTTTGTTTTCCTAAAAAATTATAATTAACTGACCAGTGTTTAACTTGTAAAATAAGAAGTGATGGAGCTCTAGTGAACCAGATATGCTGCAGAAATGGCAAGGCACTTAGTATTGCCAAGGCTCGTTACACTTGTCTTGTTGTCACCTTCATATTTGTATTTATGTCATCACTCAGTCACTATAGTTTGTTTTAACTGTTCGCATAAAGTAAACTAAATTCCTTGACCTTTATGAAGCTATTAGTGTCATAATGAATCCTTATCTCTTGGGTACAGAACTTAGTTGTGTAATGAATCCCCTTTCTTGTTATAGAGTACAGTACTGTAACTCTTTTTCTCTGATACTGTACTGTATCATGAATATGGAAAGTGTGAGTAGGTCACTTGTTTCTGATACAGTATAACCAAGCATAAACACTAACCTAACCTAACCAAGAAATAATTAATCAATGTAGAGTTCAGTATTACAGTATGTGCACTGCATTTACTGTGTGTTTTATCAGATCACAGTAAAAGGCCAGGGAGGGAATTATCAGATGTTAGCATGACTGTCAACATTAACTTTAGGCAATAGAGAGATAACATTCTGCACGGTGTAGAAATTCATCACGAGATGCTACATTCCTTGTAAGCTTTGTAGATGAACTTTCAAGCACCCGGATTACAGAGTGTTTTATGTGTCTAGTTATTAGTTCAAACATTAACTTATTTGGGTAATATAGTTATCCCTTGTGTTCATAATAATTTATTTACCAAGCTGGCAACTCTGACGAAAATAGTAAGTTTTTAGTAATTTATGAGCTGAGTTTAGTGTCTGCTTGTAGCTTCTAACCTGTAGATACTGTCTTTATGTACTTCTGCTTTTGTGCCCTCCAGTAAATAGTAGTAGTTGTAGTAGTAGTAAGCATTTATTTGTAGAAAGTACTTTAATTCCATTGTACTACAGTATTTAATATCTTCTGACTAAAGTTTTTCTTCTTGTAGTGACATATTAGAGTTTGTTCTTTCGTGTTCGCTGTAGTGTCACTAATAGAGTACATGTACTGTATATATATAGTATTCACTTTATCTATGATGATTTTTTATCTCTGTTGAGGCGCCTCACTGTTGAGGATATCCCATAGTTCAGGTTGGCCAGGACAGATGAACCTTCAGCCACACTGTCAATACATATTTCTTTCGCCTTTTCCATTAGTTACCTGTATTACGTCACTTGTTTTTCCCATAATGTAGTGCCCAGCCACACCCCACCTCCCTCTCCCATGATGTACATACTCTTCCTCCACCTAACACAACCACATCTTGTCTTCCTCCACCTAACACAGCCACATCTTGTCTCCCTCCACCTAACACAACCACATCTTGTCTTCCTCCACCTAACACAACCACATCTTGTCTCTCTCCACCTAACACAACCACATCTTGTCTTCCTCCACCTAACACAGCCACATCTTGTCTCCCTCCACCTAACACAACCACATCTTGTCTTCCTCCACCTAACACAACCACATCTTGTCTCTCTCCACCTAACACAACCACATCTTGTCTTCCTCCACCTAACTCAGCCTCAACATTACAGTACCCTTCACCTTCTTTGCTATCCAGAAACTTTTATATATATTATTTGCATGTAATATATGTAGCTTCTAAGTAGGCTTATTATTTTGTAAAGGTTTAATTTGATTTTGTGTAATAATGCTTCCTTTATTTGTACACTTGTGTATAGTAGTGTATTGTGAAACTCTGTACACACAAAAATTTATATATCACTTCATCTTAATTGTGAAACTTTTTCACATTATCGTGTTTTGAATACCATATTATTATTACAGTTGATGATCAGTCATATCTTGTTCTTCTTAAAACATGTCATTTTTATCCTTAGAACAAATGAAACATGAAGAACGACCTGGAAGTGGCAAGTCAAGCAGTGGAGCAGAAACTCGGCCAATGTCAGCCTCCTCTGGTCACGGGTCTATTGCTTCAGTATCATTTGAGGAGTTTTCTGTGTAAGTGACAGCTGCTGTAAGATGATGCAGGAAAAAAGGCCTACAAGTATCTCTTTCAAGATAAATTCTCGGCACATTATTCTATATTTAGTTTAGATTCCTCGTATGCGTACATATATCAGTCCTCAACTCAATGAAAAGTGAAAATGACCAACCATCAGTGAAGTGTAGTTATATTCCAGTCTATGGGAATAAGCATGATAAAGTGATTGTTATTTAGAACAAGCAGAAAAGGAAAAGCAGAAGCCGATTACAATCAAGGCCAAGTCAAGCCCTAAGGCTTCTACTGTTAGACAAAATCAAAATTTAAGACACATGTAGGCTTATCAGATCTGAGACTTGAAAATGGTAACTATGTAGAGTTTGATGAGGACAAGATGGAAGGCTGTTTTAAAATAGCTATTGTTATTATAGTTGTAATGCTTTGAACTTCTCTGTTTTGTTGATCTTTTAAACATATCTAGTATATGACTTTGTCCTTTAATTCTGTTTTTGAAGTCTCTCTCTGCTTCTTCAGGGAGAAAGTTAGGTATAACTGAGACACTGTACAGGAAAAAGAATATTCACTCACAGCTCTTTGTTGAGGCATTGCAGGTACAGTAAATTGCTCTGAGAGAACAGCTGAGAATGATGAATGGGAGAATCAGTTTTTAAAGTACAGAGGTTGGGAAAAAATGGAGACTAAAATTTTTCCAAGTTGTTACTGTATATCTTTCCATCCATTAGCCTACAACGCCGTGTGGACCGCCTAGAACATAGCATTGGCAGCATTGTCAGCAAAATTGATGCTGTTTTGGTCAAGTTAGATACAATGGAGAAAACCAAACACAAGCGCCGCGAAACCATGAACAAGATGATGGACACTATTACAGAGAATGATGGCAGTAAGTGATTAGTGTGACTTTATTTAATTTCATGAACAAAGAAGTTTATTATATTTTTTAACAACCTGAAGATTAACCCACAGCTTATATCATCATCCTAATGCTACCTGGGGGTACATTTAGGTTAGATTTGGTTGTTATGTTAAATCAGCATTAGGGTGGTTAATCTTAATGTGAAATAAGCTGAGGGCTAATCTTCGGGTGGTCCCTTTTTATACTGTTTAATAAGTTTCTTCTTGGAACAAACCTTGGGATGCCTAATAGAGTATTCAACAAATACAAGGGTCACCCAGAGGACCCATGGGCTTTCACAATAAAGAGTTTATGCTTAATCCCTTTTTTGTCAGCCTGAAACTTAGTTACATAGTGGCATGTACTACACCCAGCAGTACCTTAATGTTACAGTGTTGGTTTGTAGTAGAGAAAGAATTAACACTCACAAACCTGGTGGGCCATCCATTCCTTACCTTAAAAATGAACCCAGTATGACAAACTGTTGCTTAGCCAGGAGTTTATGGGCACTAATGAGTTTATCGTTACTACCACATTTTTAGCACGGCTTTTTTCAGTGTTGATACATTCATTGTCAGTTCATGAGTGTTGTCACATATTACAGCAAAAATTTCATTCAAGGTTTAATATTTTCCTTTAGAATCAGATCAAAGAGTAGGTACACTTTTGCATCACAGTTAAGACGTCATCAAGCATATATTTTGCAGTGGATGAAACGACCAAGAGGAAGAACATGGAGAAGCTGGTCCGAAGTGAACTGGAGAAATGGGATGGAGACAGTCCACCCTTGGTCAGTACTGTACATGTTTGAATGTTATGTGACTCACTAACATTAGGTGCCAAACTTACCTAACCATAAATATACTGTACCATCATGATAAACAACTGATTTACTCAAAACAGTTGAATTTAATACACGTTACTGTCAACTTATAAAGATATTCATAAAACCTGATAATTATAACAGTGGCATCTAGTTGGTACTGGGAACAAATAATTTAAATCATAATACCCTGCAATATTTTATTTTGGCCTTTTGTAGCTTGGTATAGAGCGGCCATTCATTAATTTTCTTTGTCATGAAGGAAATATTATCGTATTCACCTCCCACAACAAAGCACCAAATCTAATTTACTTCCATTGCTTCTCACAAGCCAACATCTTCCTTCAGTAACACAAAATCTTTTAATGAATCCTTCAGTTTTCTTCTTGATCTTCCCCTCCTCCCACCACCTATCCATCTTTCAATTCCCTTTCTCTCAATACAGTTTACTATACAGTATATACAGGTATTAGCAAGGCAGATTCTGATCTGTTCTTTACTCAACACTTCAATTAAGTTGTGGAATGATATGTGGAGGAGAATGAATCCTTTTCCACCACATTTCAATCCTGCTTGTCTCATTCTCTTTTTTTCCCTCTATACCATTCTACTTTCTAATTATTAGTAACCCATTCTCAATGAAGATGGGGAGGTGGACCTTGAAACGGATTCCACGTCATTCACATGAACGAGTCAATTTATAGAACATACCAGTATCTCAAAAATCACTTAAATTGCTTTCATAAAACGGAATTCATAGAATGGTACATTGTATTAGAATACAATACTGTACAGTGGTCCCTCGGTTAACGAGCACAATTCGTTCCAGAAGGTTGCTCATTAACAGAAAAACTCGTTTACCGAAACCATTGTTTCAATGGGTTTTTGGGTAATTGGTCCCAGCTCACCGAAAATTGCCTAAAATCAACAAAAAAGGTAGTAAAGTACACTTACTTTGAGGTTTGTATGTAGAAGGCTCCTGGATGATGATGATGGGAATTAGAATGGGGGTGGAGGAGAAGGGAGAAGAGAAGGCATTGGGGTGGAAGAGAAGTCACCCAATGGCGCCATTTCACCCATAAAATTTTAGTTTTCTTGGTGTAATTCAAGATTATTATGTTTAAATCAACACTGCACTGCATTATATATTGTCAATATGTAAAATAAATTTCAAATTGACCAATAATTTGCTTGGAAACACAGAAAAAAGGCATTTAGTTGAAGAGAGTCTCAAGCAAGATGTTACCTCCGCTGAAAAGACACAGAGACTGATGCCTGTATGGTGTGTTGACAGGCTGTTTGGCTCGCAAAAAACTAGCTTCCTATACTTCAATTATGTTCAATAATTGTTAAAATGACAAAAAAATTTAATATAAAACTTAAAATTATTGAATAGTACAAACTTCTTGATATTTACTAAAATAGTAAGGAATTTAAGCCCTAGAACTGATTACTGTATTGGCGGACTAATACTACAGCTGGTGGACCGCCAAATGCAAGCGAAAACATGTTGAAGTCGGCTCGTAAAAAACTCGTTAATCGAGGGATTGCTCGTTAACCGAAGTTAAGAATCTTATGGAAGGTAATTCGTTAACCGAAATCTCGTTAACCGAGACGCTCGTTAACCGAGGGATCACTGTACTAGAATTTTCAGATAATATTTGCAGTGGAAAAAGTAAATGATGGTCTTGTATTATTTTTACAATTTGAAAAAAATAGATTATGAAAAGTTTTAAATCTCACAAAAGAATTTTTTTCTAGGTCATTTATGTCACTATTGAAACATTCACTGTTCTAGGTGGTAATGGTCTTGCTAAAATGTGTCACTCTTTATTTCAGGGGCAGAAGTAAGTGTGAACTGCTAAACTCCCTAACTATGATGTACAGCTGAAGTTGCACAGCTCAATACTCACTGAAAACCTCTGTGGTTACTTTAATTATGCAGTAGATGGGTAGTTCCACATAGTCATTATATAATTATAAGCAGGTGTTGTAGATGATGAAAGGAAGTTTGTCTCTTCAGTACACAATGAGGACCACGGATAAACACTCAAGTTAGTTATAAGTTGTACTATCAGCATTCCATGGCCTGAGGGAAAACTGCATTTATTGCTATAGTAATATTTAGTTAGTAGAAAGTCACAAGTGAAGAAAGACGTTTGTAAGTGGCAAAGTGAAAAGGGAATTGGAAGTGACTACCTGTACACGATTTTCCTACATTAAGGGGGAAAAAAATTTGAAGTTACAGATGGTATAAATTGTCATTACTAAACAGTTTACCATGATTTTTGATGATGAGAAGAGGGGGGAGTTGTGCCCTTGCCACTTGTCCGTCCTTCCATGGTAAGACACACACGCCACCAATTACTGTACTGTGAAGCTTATCAATGCAAGTAGTCGGAGTGACCTGTGATACTTTTGCCTCAGTGATGGGCAGATCTCAGTTGACCTGACCATTTTAGATACTACTAAATTAGTCAGTAATGTTTTAAATTTAGATGTTAGATGTTCCCAGAAATGTTGTTAATATTTTAATGCCTACTGCCACTCTTGCTGGGTTAGTATCAAGTATGATCAGGGTGTCAACAACCATACAAGTACAAACTGTCAGTAATCCAGCCAATTGCACGTGTTGACATTCTGGTTTATATATAGGGTTCATGGTCATTAATGTATGATGGTACATACAACTGTAAGGGAGGGAAGGCAATAGAGATCTGTCCACTTTTAACAGCTATTAAAAATATAAATAATTGTTTGTTATTTATGAATGTTTGAGTTAGTCAGTCATTATGTTTAACAAGTATTATAGTCCTGGTAAGTATTCTCTCATCTTTTCCTGATAACAAGCTTCAGAGGAAGTGCCTTGAAGATTTCTAATTTACTGAAAATGTAGTTCCAACAAAAGATTTATAACCTGTTTACTGAAGAGTCGATCAGATCATTCTTTTTCTTTTAAATTATTTCTCAACGAATCTTTGGAATTGATTGATGTTGTCAGGATTCATTGCCTGGTAAACTTTCTTGTATATAAGATAAAGAAGAACAACAAGCAAGAGGAGAAAGTTGACAATTAACCCCTGACAAACAGTAATCACCTATTGTTTTACTGTAAATGATAAATCAATACATACACACACCATAAACAGAATGGTAAGGAAGGTCTTATACAGTACTGAAGGTTTTAGGTATTGTATAGTAGTATAATAAAATTATAATTGTCCAGGCTAAGAAGATTTGGCCTCTTAAACAGTTATGATTGGGTAGAAGCTGTACCGTACTGTGCATGACAATTTGACCAGAGTCCATGACATATTTTCATGGTTCTTGGACTCTTATTGAAGAATATTTTTGTTATGTACAGTTGTCTATCTGTTTTTAGAATACAATATATACTGTACCATCTATGTTGATATTATGATGGTGTGTTTTCAGTTCTTGGAGCTCAATTAATTTTAATTAAATTTTTAACCCCATGAAATGGACTGGTCGGAATTAATACTTAATAGAAAAAGTTAATACAATGTATTTACAAAGAAGACCCAAGTCTTCCTCCCTCCTGATGTCAGACTACAGTTGTCAGTAATCCAGCCAAATGTGTCGGGAGGGAGTAAGACCCCTCCCCCCCCCCCTGGGTCACCAATATTTTGTTAGATTGGTAGCATCAGTATTGAGGATGCCCGGCCACTGTTTTATATAGGGGTAAAATTACCTTTGAATTGGCATGAATATATATACAGTACAGGTAAAATATATATATATATACTGTATATATATATACATGTATATATATATATAAAATTATGTTTTATTTGTAAAATATCTATGAAATATTGTATATTATTTATTAAAAATCACTCCTTGAATGCAATTTTTTCCCTTTAAAATTGTTTAATTAAGTATTGAGGATATATAGAACAGTTTTGTTTGGAGTTGAACAGATCCCCAAACGTTTAGACCTTCAAGAGATGACTAACAAGCGCTGGGTCAATTGAGATGTTGTGTAAAACCTTATTACTGTACTATTATTGTCTAGGATATATTCACATTGTCTTTATCAGCATTTACTTTAATATTGTGGCTGTATGATCAAACTAAAAATCTAAATTGAGCCTTATTTGTTCAGCAGAGAAAAAAAAGCACAAAATATCAGATTTTAATAATGAGGGAGTATTTACATATATTAGTCCACTTGGTCATCTACACCAATTTGGGGAGAACATATTGTTTATACCTGTATACCGTACACAGTTGGATAAACTTTGTCGTCTATAACACTTACAATACAAAAGGTACATTTTATTTTTACAGTACGTACAGTATAAATTCTTTTATGTAACACAGTAGTCAAACTAGGTGTTCATTTTGTCCAACCAGTTGACTTCAATCGACAGGAGAAAGTGAAGAATACTGTACCCATATTCCACCTTTGAACACAATCTACGCATAGTATTAAATTTTCACATACCACATTCACTTGCACTAAATACTGTCTGTAAACCGTATTTAATCTCAGTTTTTATTAAACACCAGATCTATAATAATTTGTGAATTATTACTTAAACTCTTCTGTTGCAGTTATAATTTCACTACAAAACTGAAACTTAGAACATAATTTTCTTTATCTTGGAAATAGATGTTGATGGACTGTACATTACCAAAACTATGAACATAAATATTGTTCATGTATAAGTTGTTATATTTTGGAGGCCAATAACTCAAGATTTGATTATAATTAGTTAAACTTACATACATTGTGTTCTGTATATGCATATTAGTACTACATGAGTGTGTGTGTTGTATTCATGTGTGTAAGTACATAAGTACAGGGTATCCGTATAAACAGAACCAAACAATGTTGTTTCAAATACAGGTTACAGAACACACTGTATTACCTGTAGGGCAACATAAGTGTTTTTGTAACAGTATTGTTACTAATCTACAAAAAATATCCCACTCATTAAGAAAAAATCCTGAACAATGGTGATAAATTAAGAATCCCAAGTGGCTGAGTACACCCATTACAGGTAAAAATTTAAAAAGTTTACTACCTTCAGGTGCTGAACTTCTCCCACTGAACACCTTTGAGATGGAGAAGAAGCCATCCCCTTGTCAGCACTCAGCCAGGAACTGACTCTTCAAGTAGACATGGCTAAGACACTACTACCAATGTTCGGGAAAGGGTGTGGATAACAGGACAGGGTGTGGATAACAATGACGGTGTGGGTGGTAGAACGGGTTGTGGGTGGCAGGACAGGGTGTGGGTGGCAGGACAGGGTGTGGGCAGTGGGATAGGGTGAGGAATACAGGACAGGATATGGGCAGCAGAGCAGCATATGGACAATAGGATAAGGTGGCAGGGCATCACACAGGGTTAAGAGTGTCGGGTGCCTGCACTACAGAGAGTGTCGTGTGTTCAACTGGGGTACAATCCTCCTCACAACATCTCTCCTGCTTCCCTTTATCCTCATTACTCAGGTTCTCATCTTTGCTACACAAAACTGCAATAAGATCAAGAGGGACCTTAGCAAACCAAAAGGTTATATTAATAAACACACATGTATGATATATGAATATTATAACAATGAAAACACATTATGAACTGGTTATATTTTTACACTTGATTCAAAAGACTTTGGTTAGGTGGGAACAAAGGAAATGCAGTCAGAGAGACAACTTTACTCTCTGATCCTGTGTTTCCTTTTGCTACTACCTTATTATTTGTCCAAATGAAACCTACTCAAGAGACTTTGTAAACTTTAAGGCACAGTATTGAAGGCATCGTGTGTACTACAGTAATAAGTCATGCCTTCAAATGCTATTAATATTTTCTTTACTGTAAATTTAAACCATAGTGACAATACACTACTGAGTGTGGCACAGTATACTGTACATGTGTCAAAGCTTTGGTTTATAGTGAAGAAGAGGTTATTTGTTTTATACTGTTTGTATCCTTTTTCTTGTGAATAATAGGTACAAACATTGTTTGTCCCTCGAAATACATGCATATTATTTATGAAAAAAAAAAAAAGATCTATTGTAGAAAAATGGAACAGTCAACAATGCTGGATCAGATGATATGACATAATGAGGAGCATCCACAGTATACTGTATGATAGGTTTTCTCACCCCCATTCATACATTTTTGAGTTCTGTATAACTACAGTTGATGAAATGAGAGAAAGCCCAAACCATTAGCCACCATCACAAGCTACTGTACCATAAACACAACCATAAGGACACAAAATACAGTTCCTTGAACTTAAAGAAATATTATTAACATGATGGTACAGTATATTATGACAGATTAATATACTCCATGCATCACCATGATTACTCATTATACTGTACTGTGTGTCATAAGACATGGGTGTATATTAAGGTAGTGTACTGACCATGATCACTGTTGTGAAGACAGTCATCAGCTTGCTTCTCGCCATTAGGTGCCTGAAGTAGCATGCCTGAGGGCATAGAATAAAGGAAATACGCCATTTTTTACATTAAACCAAAATATAGGAACATTTAAACATTTTTAAGCTCAGAGGAAACTCATAATTCAAATCAGTGACACTACAAGCATATTGTACTATATATTGAGAAGCATTGTACTGTATTTGAGTGAAAATAATGAATGGTGCAGAGATATTTGTCAATAATAAATCAATTAGCCAACAAATATATCCATATAGTCAAGGGGTTAAACAAGACTTCGCTGCTTCTACAAGATATATATTCAAGCACATACATCATCCAGTTGCTCATAAATGCCTCCTCTTGCATAGGTAAACCTTACTTAGAACATGAATTAATACCCTTCCCATCATATTGTAACTGTAGTACAGGTATTTTATCTGGCTAGCACTAAACGTCTATACTCAGCTGGGGAAACTCCATCAGTACAGTGTTGTAACCTCCCAACTGATATACACTATCTGTCCTCACTCCCCACTGAAAGACACCTAAAAGACAAAGTAAATCAGAACTAAAGTGATTTTTCAACTATTCAAAAACCCTTCACAAATCCATGTCATTCAGGCCACAAGTTATTTACTGTCACTTAAATTTTATAACTACTGTATACATATGATTTAAATCTGACCTTAAAAAGTTTCATAAGAGACAAGTGTTATTTATATTGATGATCCCAACACACAGATTAATCAACTACACCAAAGCAAAGAAACACCATATTAAAGCCAACTACTACTGTACTGTACTGAGAAACACACAAAATCATGTATCATATTACTTACCATGTAACAACAACCCATTCAGGAGCCTAAAATCTTGGTGCGTCTGGATCTCAGGGTTAAAATTTCCACAAGATTCTCATGTCAAGCTTAAAAATCAAGGTCTATCACATGTTTGATTTAAGTGAGGTAAATATTGTCACAGTTATAATAGTAATACAATCTTTACAACATAAACTTATAAATACTGTACAACATTGAAAAAAACCAAAACAAAAAACACTTCTAATATCTACTACAGTATCGACATATATCTACAGGTGGATAAAATTGAAGTCACACCATAATAATCCTACATTCTTCTCCATGGGAACCCATGTTTGTGCCAAAGATAACACAGGAGTTGGTCCTCTGGAGACACCCAACAGTGTATTTGTGTTGGCCTGTTCCATCATCACAAGTGACAGTAGTTAATTAAGTTATATTTACATTTGACAGCCTTTCACCCTCTTGGTACAGACACCCTTGAGTTGACTGCCTTAGAACAAAAGCTTGATGCTGAATGACTTACTGGATTCAGCTACCCAACCACCACCAGCCTACTCCTCATCCATGTCTCTTAAATTCCCCCAAGATTCACTAAATTACCTCGTGTGACCTTCTGCCTGTTATCCCATACTGACTTGATATGTGAGACCTACCAAAGTATTATTATAGAAGTGGAAATGGTTTTAGCTTTCCAACAGTGGCTTTGGAATTTTGATACAACTAATAGAGACAAATGATACCAACCAACACAGCTGATGGGAGGAAACTGATGGATAGCAGAACTCCACCAGCAATTTGATACTTTCCAAGCTTGACTTACAAGTTCATGCATTCATCTATAACACAATTATCTTGAACAATCATTATTCCACTACTTCCCATCATTTAGAGGATAACATCCCTCAATATGGATAAAATGAAAATACAATGCATAGTGGAATTTAATGTCAGAAAAAAATTATAACAATAAATCTTAGTATATAGTTAAACACAATACAGTATTTAATGACACTAAATATTTTCACTTAGGATTTGGTAACTAGATGCCAAATATATCACAGTAATATGTTTACAGTTTGCTTAATATAGGTAGTATAAGTTTCCTATACAAGGTGGAAGTGAAAAAGGGTCCTATAAGCCTGCCAGACCATTAAGGACAGTGTAAATACAGCACAGTAAAAACTAAGCATTTGGTACACAAGGAGTCAGTTTGGCCAGCACCAGTTTCCATTGTCCTTCACTTCCTATAGTTGGCTACGTACTCATTTTGATTGTTGGCACCCTACACAGTGGATGGTTGTGGGAATCAAATCATCAACTGTTGGGTCAGGTGGCAAGGGCTAGGCTATATCCTCTACAATGGTTGACAAAGAGATACACACACACATACCTGCGCACACACACACATACATACATACACACACTTCACCACAGGTACCAGTCCTGAACACCTTTGACACAAGATTTCTCACCTTAAACACAATTAACTTACAAGACACATGGTTTTTCACCGGAGGGTCCTGACCTTACAAAGCTATAATCTCAAGAGACTTTGGTTATGTTTACAAATCCCACAATTAAATACATAATGTACCATAAATCTACAATAATTATACATAACTGCATTAGCCTCTTGGTGAATGCATGATGAAGCTGGCACATACATATATGATGGCACCAGTATGGTAAACAAGAGACTTTACATACAGTACATAAAGTCATGTGGTACAGAAGGGGCTAACACTCTGATAACTTGACCTCAGTGTAGTGGGTATCAGACTGACCACTTTAAAGTACTGGGTAATCACTTTATTCCTGGTCAGTGCAGCTCACTACTCTCACACTCTTCAAAATACCACCAAGAATTATAACTCATAATCATCAATTATAACTCAGTATATATTTGGCTAATATCCTGTAAGCCAATTAATATATAAAAAGAAACTGCTACAAAGACTTCACATTGCTGTACATTTACTCTGACCATAAGTAAAGACATGACAGCAATCACATTAGAGCTTTTAATTCACTATCAAAACAATTATTGCTATGGATCTATAAATATGACAGTAAGTACAGATTAAAGGACTTGTGACAGAAACAGGTACAGTCCATATCCCTGAATGATACAGACACTGACTTAAGAGGACATGTTGTGTTAGTCAGGGCCGGGTGTTAGACAGTAAAGGTCCCATCGTCCACACAGTATGACAGACGAGAGACAAAGGATGATAAATAGACACCAACAAAGAAAATGATTAAGCAGAAAATGAAGAAATCTAAAGGAGGAAAAACTAAACAATAAATAGCATATAAATCAAACATAAAGACAAAAACATCAATTAATCTTTGTGCATTTGATTTAAGATATGGCAGTGTTATTAATATACAAGATATATAATCCTTTACTATCTTCTACTATTAATTTATCTAAGTTTTCCTCTACAGTATCAACAGCACCACAAGCTTAATATTATTGTTTTACTGCTTCCACCTATATTTATTATCTCCACCTACTCACTTCTTCTCTGGTAATAACCATCTGATGGCTTTGTTGACTAGTCTTGGTTGAATTGTCTTCTGTTTACCCTTGTTTGTATACCTATATGGTCTACCCAGTATGTACATTGTAAACATCTATCTATCATCCACATCTATTACATTCTGTACAGGAGTATACTTGGATAAATCTGGGAGACTCGGCTTTGATCTATTTCTGTTTATAGAAAGTTTCTATCTACTGACCAACTTTCAACTTACAAATGAAACAGGAAGAAACAGATACACAAACCTGACAAGATGTACATAATGGCTGATACAATTTGTCAAGTCTAGGAGGCCATAACTTGGTAATTTTTCTTTCATTTCACAACGTATCATCTTACTAGCTGTTCAGGTAGTTGGCCTGCTCATTGTTGATTAATCATTATGACCTTTATTGTCCAATGTTGGCAAAGGAGGAAACTGAAGTATCTGGAGAGAACCTGTGATGTTTGGTAAGGTCACATTGGATAACACCCTTTTCACATTTGACCTGTGCTGGGAATCAAAACCAGAACACTTACTGCTGTACCACCAACATAATACTGTACACAGATTATTGAAATTATGTTAGATCTCCGAGGTGTTATGGTGCACCTACATAAAAAATTTGGTAAAACTCCAACGGTAATGGCTTGAGCTCTCATGGCCACAACTACCAGAGGGACAACCATACACATATACACACACACATTATGTATTCCTGTGTCTCTCTCCTGGGATAACACATATAAATATTCCTTTGATATTTTCACACCATCACTTCTACTTCTGTGTATTTTTAGCTGTTTTAGTCATTTATGGGAGGTCTGGAGCTAATGTGGAGCAATCTTGTTAGTATGAATGTTTTCCCTGAGTAACTAAACATTGCAATATTATACCCATACCATAAGTTTCTCCCAACCAGCACTAACTCTGTCTTGAGCCTTATTAGCTCCCTTCAACTCACTCCTTCACCCTGTTCATTCCCTGGTCTCACTGACCCACCAGAGCTCACACATATCACCTACTGATCACTAACATAACTGATAATCTTTGGTACTACCTGTATCAGTGTATAATAATAATCTGAATGACATAAAACTCAGTCATATATAAAAGACAAAATCCCAACTAACTATGAAAAACACTACAAAGAAAAGTAGAAATTATTATTATTTTTTTTTACTGCAAGAACCTGATTTTTTAATACCAATCTTCACTCACTCTTTGAGATAAGTAATTGCTTGGTCAATCCTACAAATAATCTTAATGTGAAGTAGCATAACGGATCTGAGCAGACAGAAACTAGCTCCAGTCTTAAAGCTCTGCCTGAGTGAGTGATGCTTCAGCTTACCGAGACACAATGACCTAATGAAGTTGTGTACTTAACAAACACCCTAAATAGTACAACTTGTTCTCAATTGTGTAGCAAAATAATGAGACTGAAACACAACCCATCCACAACTTGTATGGTATAAGCACCTTCATTAACTTAACATTAAATATTTACTGCTGCTACATTGTATTAAAAAACTCATAAAACGGCATAATATAACTTTGAGCAACGACACTAACACTTCTTAGTGTAACAATGCTGAATGAAACATCCAGTCACAACAAGAATACGCTAATTATACAAAAAACACAGTATATTATTTGTGCAAGACATCCAAGGCGGCACAGTACTATTACCACCTCTATTTAACCAATATAAAGCAAAAGAAACACTACTTTAGTTATATTAATCTACACAAATGATTTTTCCTATTTTTTTTTCAGTTCAATAATTTCCTATCCATAATTGCCCATCAAATGATATATGTGTACAGTAGTTGTGTACACTCCCTACGGTCCCCTTGGTTAAAGTAATCAGATCATGAAAAGTTGTAAGTAAACATATCTATCCCTTCAAGTGTTCCAGTGTCCACATGAAGGACTAGTCATAAGTAAGACGCCACAAACACTTTTAAGGTAATTATGGCAATGTAGTCTGCGGAAGCTGCAAATACGTGTTCACCGGACATTGTGAAGAGAACCAATAAGCTCACGAGAGGACTGCTTAAAGACAGTCATGTGGATTGAGTCAAACTACACTGTTGTCATCAGTGTTTATCTCGGCTACCCCAGCCTGAGATAAGTCACAACTCGCTAATGGACATCATCTCGCTTGTACAGGAAAAGGAATCTTGTAAGGCTGGTAGGCATAAGTGGAGAGCTTGGAAAGGGGAGTTTAGAGGACCATTAATCCGGTGACCTTGCTACCTCAAGAACAGCGACAGAGAGGTCCAACTGGTGTTGGCAGTGTGACACGACCCTGTGCACTGTGAGAACTCCCCAGTGTCTACCTAAAGTTGCTACTAAGAACCTGTGAGTGTGGTGGATTAGCCACAGTAGCAGCCCGGTGGAAGCGTGCTGGTGGCATACACCAAGACCAGACAAAATTTAAGGGATGTACCCAGTGTCTACAGTGTTGTTACTGAGTGACACCGGGCAAGGTACCCAGAGTAGTGTTAATAAGGGGGATAGTTGGGTATAAGAGAGTAGCCCCTGTAAGGGGTCAGTGAACGGATAATGTGGTTGTAACCGCAGTGAGTGTAGTGGGGTCAAGAGTGATGGTTGTCATTAGAGCTGTGTATGGCTGAAGAGAACAAGAGGCACACCAAGGGGTGGCCAAGCAGTGAGCTGTAAAGTTGAATCAAAGTTCAGTTCTGTGATTAAATAGATGATAAGATTGTAAATAATGAGAGTAATATTATTCTCTCTTCCGCTAACAATACAGTAGAACGTCGATGTAACACGAGATAGGCACTCAACCTGTACCCAAGAGGTCAAACATCTCGAGAACGTGTGCAATAGGGCCGGATGTGTAAGTAGGGAATGGACACCCAATGTGAGACTGAGTCTGCGAGTCAAGGTTTGGACTCCATAGCCACATCCAGTGGCACCGCCGACAACATCCCTAGTTCACCACTCATCATCAATTTCATAATGAAGCAGAGTCATCGTCGGCTACAACAGACAGCCTTAAGCAGTGTGTGTGTGTGTGTGTGTGTGTGTGTGTGTGTGTGTGTGTGTGTGTGTGTGTGTGTGTGTGTGTGTGTGTGTGTGTGACTCCATAATAACATGTGAAAGATTTTGAGAATATTATGAAAAGCGTCACACAATATTAAGATAATATACGAGTTTTGTGTATCTCCTGCCAGGGATAGTTTAGTGATGCCCAGCAATAAATGCATCCAGTAAAGTCACATTTGATAACACCCACCTCAATCTGTCCCTTGCCGAGGATTGAACCCAGGACACAGTTATGAGAAACATGCAAATTGCCGCTGTACTACAAAAGTACCAGATAAAAAGAACAAATATGACAAGGCATAAAAGATTAAGACCACAGCTAAAATAGAAACTGGTAGAGATGATGAGCACATCTTAATGAAAATAGACTACAGTAAACCCATGTTATTCACAAGGGTGAGGCTCCAAGGAATGGCGTAAATAGGCAAAACTGCGAACAGCAACTTATACTACCATAGTGCACTACTGTTTGAGAAACTCATGTCACCCATACTACTTACACTCGTATGTGGCTGTCTGATGTGGCGTCCCCAGTGACCTTCACATTATGGAGTAAGAATCTTTCCTTAAAATTCTCGAACCAACCTTTCCTGGCACTAAAAGTTGGTTCAGTAGCTGCACCAGCCCCTTCACCACCTGTTGATTTTTCTGTACACTAGGTTCTTATCACAAACAGTCTGCACCACTATGGCACCTGTAGAAGCACTCGCTGCAACAGTCACTTGTTCTTACTTCTCAATGTACCACACCGTGGATTCGTTCAAACCAAGCAACCGGCCAACCACTGTGGCTCTCATTCCTTCCTTTAACTTATCTAATAACTGAACTTTCTTGGTAGGGATCATCAATGACTTTTGCACTAGCATCACTATACAGTACAGTCTTTTAGGGGAAATTTCACACAAAATCCACTAAAGTTTTGAGGACAACAAGAGAGAGGAGATGCTGTGGAGTGACCCGCAGTGCTCCACCAGAGGCTCAGGAGCTATTCACCATTTGCTTACCGAGAAGTCCAAACCACGAATGATAACACCAGGAATAACAAGTCTTTACTGTATTGTATATTATAGATGACGGTGAGTTAAAGGAGAGTATTATTGCTCTTGGTTCCTGTAGCCTTACAGTAGTGCAGGAGTTAAAAAAATATCCTATGCTTGGTTACACGGTGTCCATAAATTATCTGACCTATTATAAAACTTAATAATTTCAAAAATATTATAGACAGAACACAGTGCACATGTGAACATCTACTGAGACAAGAAAAAAACTTAAGAGTTGGTAATCGAGTATAATAAAACTGACGTGTTTTATCTATAACATTTCTGGTTCAAGTAATTCATGGAAACTCTGTACAGTAAATCTAATATAAAAAATTAAATTACGCTGTCTGTAGGAGTACAACATGACACACCTTAACTGGTACTAAAATATGTAATCATCAGAGACAATGCTAAAACTATAACCAAACCTGACCTCTATTTTCCTATGAGTAACTTCCTTCATAAATCTAAAATTAATATGAAAATAAAAATTACATTGTTATACAAAAAACGATATGAAGTCAAACAAATGACAAATGAAATACAGGTAATATCATAACATCTAAGAATAAGTGTACGAGAAATAAGATTTTCATTTGTGTTTCTAAAATTGAGTTATCACACTCTCATCATTTGTCAAGTCAGATCAATATGTATAGACTAACACCATTAAAACAGTAAATACAGATAAGCAATAACATCTGCAGCTTACAGTGTTGCTACACCATAGGACACTATCCTGAGTACCGGTAACATATATACAGGGTGTTAACTGAATATGGAGTTACAAGGCCCAAATAGGGTTTAAAGACATTGCAATTCTAGAGATGTGTGACTTGCCTACTGTAAATTAGTGTCGAAAATGGCTATAAAATGTTGATAATGATGATAATGAACTATCTACAGATTTAGCTGTTGGAACAATATGAACCACCAACCAAGATGTTAGCTCAATCAATCAATGAAGCTACAGTATTTACCAGTGTACAGTAATGTGAAAACCCTGGATACTCAGTCCATGTATATGTTTGATTCTTCCTGCTTGTATTAGTACCAGTTCAATGGTACCCAACAAACATTATGATGATGCACATAATTCAATAAATACAACCTTGAAGTGGCTTATCACTCTCAATAATATTTCAGAAGGAATTACACTTTGCTAATCAATCTTCATGGCTTCATAACATAAAGACAGTTTAAAAAATATTTACACACAATGTCTTACAGATTTACATAGCAACTGCACAAATATTTACACTACAAGAGCAGTAGTGTCCACACGTGCTGATGGGCACTGTGGGAGACATTACACACCAACAAATGCGATCAATAAGGCAATACAGTATGAATACACATTTTTGAGACACCCTGTTATATAATATTTACACTAAACTGGTCTAACAAGCCATGTACTGTACTTCATCTTCTCCAAGAGTAACCAAGATTCCCAAACTGTACTGTGTGTTATAAGTTACATAGGTAGATAAGGTGTGCATCATAGATCTTATTCTTCAGTGTATCAAGCTATGATATTAAGGTTTAAAGTAAGAAAGCTTGAGGGGTGAGAAGGTCCTCCTGCAGTAGAAGGTGTAGGTAGCAAAAGCATAGTTAAACGAGTATTTTATAAGACTGGGAAACTGCATTTACTTGAGCATAATAAAAGTTAAGGATGTGTAAAGATCTCAGCGACGGACACGCACGGTAAACCTTGATATATTTCTCCTTCTATACAACTGGAGCACTAGATGACTCGGCTGAAAATATAAGCAGAAAATTTTGCCACCTTAAACTAAGAAGTTATTTTTTTTCACATTTGAGAATAACTCTTAGATCAACCACCAAATAGATAATACAAAAAATAGTATTACAGCCAGTTAGTATATATCTATGTGCAGTTAATGTTTGTTTTAGTAATCCACCAGCTGTAGACACGTGAAGGTGACAAAAAAGACCATACAGAACTTAAGAACTGATGTATAGTAAACTGGTGTCCCTAGGAATCACTCTTCTGGGTATGCATGTACTTGTACCTCAACTTTTATGGTCTCCTGAGGCAGCAGGTGAGAAGTATCACTAACATCAACTTCTACATTGTTCCTGGCCTCACAATGCTCCTCAGAGGATCCCCCAACCAACTTTTCAACCCCCTCGGCTGCCCCGTCGTGTCCGGCGACCTTCCGTGTATCGTCAACCTCACCTCTAGTGTTTTCAAAAGCCAAATCCATACTGTCAACATTACGAGAATATCGTTCAAACCCAGACGAGGGACGAAGCACCACAGATGACGGCACAGTTTCCGACGTCCCATACGAATTACGTACACGAGATGCGTTACCTTCTGATCCACACGTGAAGTTGGGGGGGTCCTTAGGTAGGGGAGAATGATAACTACCCAGAAGTTTACTTGGAAGGTCAAACACGGCAAAGAAGAAGTAGCCGAGGCCAGCACCAGCCACGACCGCGATGGTGAAATACGCATTATACGTCATCACCACGAGCATCAGGATGTATCCTATTATAAGATGCAGCACATGAAAGAAAGACTGCAAGATGTGGAATTTCACCCTGTGGATAAAAATGTTTTGTTAATAAGTTGCTTACAACAAATGTCATTCTAATTCAAGTCAATTTCCTACATATTTTTTTTTTACTTAAATTTATATTAAGAAACAACCACTGACGGTATGCTTCTCCACATCAAAATTTCTGTCAAACAGGAGGCATAACTCCTGTACATAAAGTCTGAAAATGTTGATCAATCTCATCCTATATACAAGTAATACAGTATCTCTGTTAGCAAGAATCCCCATTAGCTGAAACTTTCCAATACCTGGAGCTGAAATTGACTCAGAATTTTTCCAGGAAAACTCTCTCAATTCCGGGTCTGAAAGAGTTTCCGAGGTTGAAAATCAGGCACACTTTCTGAGAAAATTCCAGAAAATAAGGTAATATATTTCATAAACAAAGTAAATCATCTTTTAATGAACTGTACAGTTCATTAAAAGATTTTTTTTCTATTAAAATATATTACAGTACCTTATTTATTATTAAAATATACACTGTATGTTCTTTAATGGGGATACTGTACAGTGGTCTAATCAGATTTGGTATACTGTAGTGTACTGTAGGCCTTATGGGAGCTAATAGGGACAACAGATGACACTAGTGTAAACATGCTGGAGGGGGGGGGGAGCTGGCCGGCCTTGCAGCAATCACCAGTTTGTTTTAATTTATTATCATAATCTCGTATGATCACCATATACAGTATTAAATACTGCACAGTACAGTAATTGAAATAATATGAAATATAATTTGTAAATTGACTTCAAAAGGAAGGAAAATGTAAAAGGAAACACAAATACACACACAAGACAATTATTGTACATTAAAATATAAATTTAAGTGTCATGGAGGGGGAGTGGGGACTACAGTGTAGCAACTCCTCTACACAGAACACGATTGAGGATTAAAACACACACAGTCAACATGTAAACACACAAAATAATCCCCAAATATACACAACTACATCCCACAAGCCAGGACAACTGAGGTCATCATTACCAAGGGATGGGGTGGGTTAGGTTACAGCCAGGTTAGGTTAAATTAGGGCATTTTAGGTCAGGTTAAGTTAGATTTAATTGTGTTCAGGTAATTTAGAATAGATTTACATAAAGGGCAAATTAGGTTAAGTTAGAGGTAATAAGGTTAAGTTTGCCTGTGTTTGGGTGAAGTTAGGTTAGGTTATGGAAGGGATACTGCAAGTTAAGTAAAGTTTAGTTATGTTGAAGGTCAAGTTAAAGGCAGGGTAAGTGAGGTTCAGTTACGTTGGAGGTCAAGTTAAGGGCAGGTCAAGTGAGGTTCCAAGTCTGGGGGTCTAGCAAATCCCTGATCAGTGACACTGACAAAAATATCATCCAGAGTGAACCAAACACTCCACCTGGACAAGACCTAAAGATTACCTCTAAATCTGTGTCAATGATAAATAGCACCAAGATAACACCCCACAATGATAAATAGCATCAAGATGATAACCCACAAAGATAAATAGCATCAAGATAACAACCCACAATGATAAATAGCATCAAGATAACAACCCACAAAGATAAATAGCATCAAGATAACAACCCACAATGATAAATAGCATCAAGATAACAACCCACAATGATAAATAGCATCAAGATAACAACCCACAATGATAAATAGCATCAAGATAACAACCCACAAAGATAAATAGCATCAAGATAACAACCCACAATGATAAATAGCATCAAGATAACAACCCACAAAGATAAATAGCATCAAGATAACAACCCACAATGATAAATAGCATCAAGATAACAACCCACAAAGATAAATAGCATCAAGATAACAACCCACAATGATAAATAGCATCAAGATAACAACCCACAAAGATAAATAGCATCAAGATAACAACCCACAATGATAAATAGCATCAAGATAACAACCCACAATGATAAATAGCATCAAGATAACAACCCACAATGATAAATAGCATCAAGATAACAACCCACAAAGATAAATAGCATCAAGATAACAACCCACAATGATAAATAGCATCAAGATAACAACCCACAAAGATAAATAGCATCAAGATAACAACCCACAATGATAAATAGCATCAAGATAACACCCCACAATATACATGTGCATCAACTTAAACCCACAATGAAATACGGCAACTGAACAATTTCACTAGTATTCTACAAGGCATCAAAGTTGTGCACCATAGACAAATTAATCTTCTTTTTCTTTTTCGGGCGAGAGAATCACAACAAAATGACGGAGAAGTTTTCATAAATGATACGCCAGATGCTATACACTCCTCCATAGAGATGATTGCAGACAACACTAAGTCATTCAAGGAAATTATGAACCAAATGGACTGTGAGGTATTCTCAGTCAGCTTCAGGAGTGGCAAAAAGGAATAGCTGTTAAGATTCGATGATATGAAACGTAAAAGGATGCGATAATTTACAGAGGAATTTAACTAAAAATGCCCAGTAATAAGGGTGTCATTGGTTAAATTCTTTTAATCAGGGTGTAGCATCTGGTTTGTATACATGAATATTAAACCGACTCTTTCCTTTAGTGTTAATTTCTCTGCCATCTTCACTGATTTCTTTATGATTCCCTCACCTAAAAGAAAACAGAAATAGAGAACATTCACTTTCCTATGGCACACACTGTACAGTATGGTACACAATCTAAGACACACACTATACAATTACCAGTAAAATAACCACCCAAGCTGAACCTGAAATATTTGGTACTGTGGCATCCATGATACAAGGAAGGAAACCAGATTTAGACACAATATCAGAACAGGTAAATTAGATGTGAGGAGGAAGGGAAAAGGGAAGGAGTATTAAAGAAAAATAAAGAAAGAGTGAGGGGAAAAAGAAGAAAGAGGAGAGAGAGGAAGGAGAGAAAGAGGAAAAAGAAGAGAGGGGAGGGGAAGGAGACAGAGTAAGAGGAGAGAGGAAGGAGAAAGAGCAAGAAGAGAGAGGAAGGAGAAAGAGTAAGAGGAGAGAGGAAGGAGAGAAAGAGGAAAAAGAAGAGAGGGGAGAGGAAGGAGTACGAGGAAAGAGGAAGGAGAAAAAATAAGAGGAGAGAGGAAGGAGAGAAAGTTAAATAAAACAAAAAAGAAAAATTTTGGACACCAGAAAGGAAGATTTTTCAGGTCCTAGTCACATAAAAATGCTCCTGAAGACCATAATGGGAGTATATAGTGCAGAGCTGTGATGGTTTAACTTGTACTGTACACGTTAATGATCCGAAATGCTCCACTAAACTGCATATTTAAAGGAAACAAAATTTGGGAGGATTTAAATTTTCAAACCCAGCTCATCTAACATACTCCTCATCACGGCTTTCATTTATGGTAAGCCAAACCCAAGCTACCTGCGTTTATACAACAACTTCTGATTTCTACGGCCAAGGAATGACTCAGACATTAAGAGAGGCGACCTTTCTGGGATCTCGTATTTGCTGCAGCCAGTTCTGCGTGACGTTGCAACCTTTAACAGCTGGGAACGAGCTACTTTGAAGCCTTCTGCCAGCACCGAGAGGGACACCAGCCCCAGACACAATGACACCATTCCTGTAAAAAGATTTCTGGGTAAATACTATGGACCTGGTGTAACATACAGTCATGCGGTAATCATAATTTATAATTGTAATCGATTATATATATGTATGTATGTCATGGCTGTACTCAGTGTTGGAGTATCATGTATGTTACAGTACCAGGTATGTTAGAGTACCTTGTGTGTGTCTGAGTACTGTATGTGTGTTGGAGTACCATTTGTGTTGAAGGTCTGAGGAATTAAAATAGAGTGGGGGGCAGATCCAGCCCATGGACTGTGGTCAACACATCTGGCACACTTATACACCAGTCACCTTGGCATGTCAGCAGAACAAACTTATACAGACGATGATAAACTCAAGTCTTTCAAGGACAGTGTGACAAGGTGTTGGGTTACTGACATAATAAGATGAGGAAAATTAACAATGAATTTCTTATGCTGAAAAATGGCCATAAACCACTGATGATGATGATGATGATGATGATGATGATGATGATGATGATGATAGAATGTATGAAGACCATGAATCATTGAGGCTATGAGGTAAGACAAAACGAAACTGTCAACTCAGACCATGATTGCTCTAAGCATAAACAGAACAAGTAATGCGTCCTCACTCACCCCATGTTGTGACGATGTTGACGCCTTTGAAGAGAAAGTCGTAGACCGTAGAGGAGAAAAAGTAGCTCATATGCATCTTCTGCTGAAACATTTTAATTTATTAGGGTAGCCAACACGATAAGGTTTGGTCATCAGTAATTTATATTATAGCTACAGCACTGTAATGTATTTGACTTTTTGTATTCTAATTCATCACATCACCATCTATCAGCTTACTCGCTCTTCGGGTCTATGCTTTGTTACAACCTTCAGTGTCTAGTACAGGAGGAAACTGGAGATACTGGAGAAATACCACAGATTGCACAGTAATGTACTTCCTGTTTTATCTTATCACACACACACACACACACACACACAGAAGGGCTGCAAAAATACTGTCATACTAACTACAAGTCCCTGACAAGACCCCTTCAATGGGTAGTGCACCAACATGTAGGATTTCGTGAGCCAAAATTTTATACAATGCCCTTCAATGTTTCAAGACCTAATGGTAAGGTAATAGTTAATAATTCAATATACTTTGAGGAGAATACAAATATTGCTCTATACTCAGGAGCCCAAGCATGTACAATACTAACACTGGACAATGAAAGTTGCTACGAACAGACCGACGACCCGAATGGCTAGTAAGCAGAATAGTAGTGAAATGATAAATAATAGCCAATGCTGTATAATAGAGAAGTGACTGGCTAGTAAAGAGAACCCACATTTAATTCTCTGTAAAACTTAAGGCGATAAGACACGTTATCTCCAACACTCTATTCTCCTCATAAGCCAGCCAAGCATCAATAGCTACACGACATGTTTACTTATCTATATTATGATAAGATAACACACAACTATGGACCAAATGATGATAGTTTTACTGTAACTACTGACATTGAGGATGATGACAACTATGTATGCATTGTAGAGTGAATTAACATGAAGCAATGTGTATCATTATGGAGGATGTGTGTGTTAATGTAGGGGTCAAAGGACATTAGGAACAGGTAGGATATTTCCATTTGTTGTTCAGGTTCCCTCCAATCACTTCCTCCAGGTTCTTTACTGTTTCCATACCTCTGGACCCAAACAAAATACATAATAAAGTACAGTAACTAACAATAAACCTACCACTCAGTTGGCTAATAAACTGATAAGTGGTGAGATGATGAATTCAAACATAAGTGGAAGAGGATGCAAGATTGCAGTTACACAAATACTGATACCTGTACTGTAGTTAAGATGCAATTAGACTGAATACTGTAGTTAATGATTAATGAATAAGAGAACTGAGTAAACTAGATATTGTAATTATTGACTTATGAATAATTCTTCTTCGCCGGAAATTAAATAATATTAACAATTTTAAATCTGCGAGGGTTAAAGTGGTTTATAGTTCACCATGACATTTATCCTACAGGAAATGACAGACACTCCTGCCAGCACACTCACTGCCCAATCAAAATCTCGAGTCTGAGATTGGTGGTCTGATCAAGAAACATTACACAATATCTGACAATACTGTACCTAGAGATTCAGTGCTTATTTTATTAAATTCATTATTACTTGTCTAAGTCACTTTCTACACTAGTCTCACAATTTTCTCCTTCTAAAAAATTCACACAAAAGTGGAAAGGGAGTTACGATAAAGAGAATAAAGAAAGTGGGTCCAATATGACAGATGACATACTGGGGTACAGTACAATGAAAATTAAGCCCTGGTACACAAGAAGACAACCAGGTAAGTACTGTACTTTTCTGCCCTTCAGTTACCCAGCTGTGTAGTTAATCACCTGTTTACAGGTGGGATAACCAGAAGCATCCCACACACACGAGGTTCACCCAAACGATAGCTGGCTGAGTGATACAGCCAGGCAGTTGCTACCCCCTGAGGAAACTTGGTAAAAGTCCGAACAATCGGCAAGTCCGGGCCCCCTTTTCCCTAAATTGTTCGGACTTTTGAGGGTTTATTGTACAGTGACCCCCCGTTTAACGAACACCTCGGTTAACGTAATTTCGATTAACGAACTGCCTTCCATAAGGATCTTCAATTCGGTTAAAGAAAAAAAAATTCGGTTAACGAAGTTCTTACGAACCGACCTCAACATGTTTTCGCTTGCACTGACCGGGCAACCAGCTTTAGTATCAGTCCGCCAATACATTAATCGGTTCTAGGGCTTAAATTCCTTACTATTTTAGTAAATATCAAGAAGTTTATACTATTCAATAATTTTAAAAGTTTAATATTCAATTTTTTAGTCATTTTAACAATTATTGAACATAACTGAAGGTAAAGTGACTAGTTTAATGCGCGGCATCCAGCCTCTTAACACAGCAAACAGGCGTTAGTCTCTCTCTGTTTTCACTGGGGTAACATCTTGCTTGAGACTCTCTTCAACTAAACGCTTTTTTTCTGTGTTTCCAAGCAAATTATTGGTCATTTTGAAATATATTTTACATATTGACAATATATAATGCAGTGCAGTGTTGATTTAAAGAAAATAATCTTGAATTACACCAAGAGAGCTAAAATTTTATGGGTGAAATGGCGCCATGGGGTGACTTCTCTTCCACCCCAATGCCTTCCTTCTTTCCTTCCTCCACCCTCATTCTAAATCCCATCATCATCATCATCATCATCATCCAGGAGCCTTCTACATACACACCTCAAAGTAAGTGAACTTTTCTACCATTTTTGTTGAATTTAGGAAATTTTCGGTGAGCTGGAACCAATTACCCAAAAACCCATTGAAACAATGGTTTCGGTTAACGAACTTTTCGGTTAACGAACGACCTTCTGGAACGGATTGAGTTCGTTAACGGAGGGGTCACTGTATTTCTTACGGGAGAAAGTGTCTCACTTTGCATTGCATCGGTGATGTAAAGGCTCTTATAGCCACTACCCCCTACAGGTACTTCCATGTATTCGTACAAGAGAAAATTGCCCACTTATATGTCGTCTCACTTAAAGTAAAGCAACTTTGCTTCGTAAACCCGACATATTTCAGGCACTCCATAATTTGTTGTTTAGTTAGATAGGTTTGGTTAGGTAAGGTATGGAGAGGTAGCTGGTAAGCATTCAGTCGGTTGCTGGGTATCATTTGTCAACAGAAGTGCATTCATAGTGCATGATGCAGGTAATTACAGGCCAGTTAGTATCCTGTGTATAGTACAGTATCTTTATTTGGGTAAAATTGTCGTTTCGGTCATCCACTTACAGTATTTGGAAGGTCAGAATCCTTCGAAACACATAAAATAAAGAACATCGAAAAATCATAAGGTCAACCTAACCTACCGTAACTTAAACTTAAAATCCAAAAATTTGCTGGATGAACAAAATGACAATACCTTTTTTTTTAAATTGCAGTTTCACTACCAATTGGTTTTGCGATGGAAATGGTATTAGAAAAAATTGTTGCCATCAATGAGATATAACTTCTAGTGAACCAAAAAATTTTCTAACCCAATTGGGAGTGAAAATGCAGTAGCAACGGACATAAGTGTGGCAGACAGGGTGAAGCATCTGAGGCTGAATTATAATTATTGGCTAATACTGTAGTGATGAAACATAAATAAGAGTCGCAATTCCTCCACCATTTTTCTTATATTATGGAGTTATAAAATTAGTTTTCTTATACAGAAAATTAGGTAAATTTTTACTTTAGTACACGAGTCCCTCGAAGTTGACCAATAGGTTTTTCCAGTGTACTGTATTTTGGTGTGTTTTAGGCGAAACAGACCTTCACTTTTGGCAGAAATTGCTCGTTTTTGCCCCACCCAGTCCCCCCAACAATAATGGGGGAGAGCCTGGGAAATAGAAGGTTTTTGTGTGGGGGAGAACATGAATACGAGTCATCTAACCTAACCTAACCCAAATGTTTTAGTAGTTTAAAACTTTGGGGCGTAGGAGAACACCGTGATCATGTAAGAATTGGATAGAATGACCGTCTTTCTCGTAAACTCAGCAATAAACTTAAAATAATCATAGGAGCACGAATCACACCCAACCTCCACCACGGCCACTGTCAGACTCATCATTGAAATTCAAACCCGTACTCAGGCTGCTTCCTTGGAAAAAATTTTGATGTGATTGGTTGAAAAAAAAATCACGCGATGATATCGATAAATGATTGGTCATGACTGGATGACATCAGTCAATATTGCACATGTGTGATGCATAATTAACTGGGTTTCACGCAGATAGCATCACTTCACAGACGAAGACTTTAAAGTACGTAAAATCAATTGAATTCAACAGTGTCGCTATTAGCCATTCCCGCCATGTATATATGAGGTTCAAAATGCTCAGAATAGGGAGATCTAAATGTGTCAGTAGTTTATAACTTTGGGTGCACTGTGTCCTAAAGTAAAATAACACCGTAAATTAACCAATAGTTGCTGGTTATAACTAACAGGTGTTCCAAACTACAGTCATACCCAATGATGGCCTTCACTGAACCTCTAGAAACACTATTTGTTACAACTCATTTAACTAGTCAGTATTAATAGTCATTCAATACCAATCACCTTTATCATTGTATTATGTTGTATCTCCTCAAATTATGGTTAGTGAGGGTGATGGTTAGTGATTTAAGGACAGTAATGATTGTATACTGTACCTGTACTCTGGTTGACCTCATTCAGTCCCGTGATGACAAACTACATACCTGTTATTAAGTCACCCAATAACAACGTCATTAACACTAACAGTCGTTCCTCACTAAATCACATATAAACTTACAAAGAATTGACTTATGTGTGGAGATAACGATGGACCAACACCCAGCCCAGCCACCACCACTCACTCAGCTGTTACTACTGGTGAGTGTGGTGGGCTGCTGTGGTGAAGTGTGGTGGTGAAGGTGTTGGTGGAGTGTAATTAACAGGACCATCATTGACTAAGATCATTAAGTAAAGATATAATATAATCATCAGGAAATAATAACGGTTTTTGGCCATTATAACAGTCTATATTGTCCCACCTAAAGCTCCTCATTAGCTTTTAAAGTAATTAATTTAACCAGAAATTTACAAAGATAAAGATAAATTAGATTAATATTCAGACAGAAGATAATTATCCAACAAATACAAAAACTACTTAATGATCGCCGTGTTCGTGGACATTAATTAACATACGACGAGTTCTTTATTAATTACGCGCTATTGAAATAAAAAATCGCGTAATGTTAAAACTTTACCACACTCTATACACATACAGCAATTATAACTTTCTAGTTCAGTTACAAGAAAAAAATTACCAAAAATAACTAAAAATATTTAATTATTATTCTATGTCGACTATATTAATTATTTTTTTTTTAATAAAGACAAGTTGTAGCGGTTTAGGTTCTGTTCGTGGAGGTTTTATAACACTAACAATATATGTGTGTCAGCTGTAAACAAACAACATTAACAATAACAACTGTGTATAGCAACAAGACTTAACTATAGTAGAGGTTGTTAAACACTTACTGTATTAATGGTGATTTATGGTGACATTTACCTTATTTTAATACAGTTTTAATGATAAATAAATAAGTAACGTGATGATACAGTAGTGAGGCTGAAGGTGGGCCAAGAGGGAGAGGTAGCTATGTGTTGTTAGGTCATTGTTATAAACCTCTGTAATGACTCGTTTTAGGTTAACTATGGAACTTACCAACAAAAAATAGGTTCTGGTGTGTTTTGTTTTGTTTCATGCTAATCTGACCTCCACACCTGTCACTAATGGTTCGTTATGGAGATATGACCTCTAATTACTAACAATATTGGGTGTTAGTGATCAGGGCGTTAAGGTAGAGGGAATACAGAGAATTGAAATTAACGCATAAATAATTATCGTTTCAGTCATCCTCCTACAGTATTTGGAAATTTAAATAAACCATCAGAATAACAATTTCAACAACCTAACCTGACCAACCCAACTTAACCTAACCTAACCTAATCTAACCTTACCTAACCTAACCTAACCTAACCTAACCTAACCTAACCTAACCAACCCAACTTAACCTAACCTAACCTAACCTAACCAACCCAACTTAACCTTACCTAACCTAACCTAACCAACCCAACCTAACCTAACCTAACCTAACCTAACAACCATTTTACCTTTAGTCCACAGGTTACGTAGGATGACAGACGGCACATGGACAGTAACCGACACTGCCAATATCTGTATATCAAGTGTTGTGTCGGGGGTGTCAGACGTCGCGTGTAGTGTCACTCATGGTGTGGGTGATGTTGTTCACAGTGTCACATCAGGTAAGATTTTTAGTATTATATTCTCACTGGATATTGTGAAGATTACGAACCTAAGCTTATTACACCTGATGATTATATACCCTTGCTAACATAACACAATCTAACCTAAGCTAGCCAAACTTAATCTCTTTTAATCTAACCTAAGCTAGCCAAACTTAATCTCTTTTAATCTAACCTAAGCTAGCCAAACTTAACCTCATTTAATCTAACCTAAGCTAGCCAAACTTAACCTAATCTAATGTTAACAAACTTAACCTGACTGCCCAGGTATCATTAGGTTGTTTAATCACCAGGAGAAATAAGCTGAAGTCTCTAATCATCCTGAGATCCACTTTACCTGACCATGAAACTGTAACTATTTACATTTCTCAATATTTTCATTGTTTTAATATGTAATTAAACCAGGATCTTGTTTCATTTCCATCTATATGTTTCATCACATTACAGGAATGGGGGAAGTGGTTCACAATGTTTCCTATGGGGTCGGAGATACCGTCCACAACGTGACGGCGGGAGTGAAGCGCCTTCTCACCTCCCCGCCTGTAAACTGCGACAGTATGGTAACAGAGGAGGAGTGTCCCGGTGTTCTCCCAGCAACACCACGCAACTCAATGCTCTCACCTGTTGCCGATAACCCCAGTTGTGACCAGTGAGACATATTTTATCTCTTGTAACCCCTTTTATTTGCCAGTACAATATGGGAGGGCTGGCATGAAGAGCAATGAAGAATCTCCCTCATTGTACTGTACTGTATAGTGTATATGCTGTACATCACACCACCTTGTCTATCTTCAACACTTATTTAGCCCCGTGGTGTGTGTGTGTGTGTGTGTGTGTGTGTGTGTGTGTGTGTGTGTGTGTGTGTGTGTGTGTGTGTGTGTGTGTGTGTGTGTGTGTTCCTAGATGGCTGTGGTTACTTAACACATTACAATGGCATTATTGTGAGAGGTAGAGGGTTCTTGAGGGGCAATGTACGTGGTTTGGCATCGGTCAGGGATGGACTAGAGAGTTTCAACCTGTATTAGTTTGTAATTATCATACAGTATTTTATTCAATACTTTGTGAAATACACTACTGTATTAGATTTTTTAATAATGTCCTTCAGTTAAAAAAAAAATTTATCCTTGCCGAAATAACTTTGGTCCCAAGCATTCCAGATTTTTAAAGTGCAACCTGTATCTAAAGCCTTGTAACTCTCTAAGCTGAATTTACCATTTTTTTCATCTATTTATCAGGAGCCCTGGAACTGATTCTGAAACAGCCGAGGAGGAAGCTGCCATAAATGATGAACTTGGACTGACGGAGGATCACTTCTCTCAGCCAGAGGTTTGTGGTGGTTGAGAAGGAAGAGAACTACTGATATATATAGTACTGTACAGTACATTCACGATCATTATTGGTTGATTTAATATTACCTGTACAGTACTTATTAGTAACCAAGCCTATGTGAAACACTCTCCTGGAGAAAGGCCTCTGAGGGTGATGTAAGAGTTGGTGAAGTTTTATTGACTAAGAACCAGAAAACTGTCCTGTATTGTGTATAAATATTGGTTGATGCAGTACAGTAGTCTTCAATGTTTACTGTAGTGGGAATATCATTTTCATTATTATCTAATACAGTACAGTATAGTAATTGTAGTATTTATGCAGTAATAAAACAACCGAACATTTAAATATGAATTGTGCTTTGACATTTATGGAGTTTTAATTTTTTTTTTAAATTTCAGGACAATTTTCTCTGTATGAGTGAAGAGACACTGGAGAGGAGCATTGAGAAGTGTAAGTTACTGATCCTGCAGTGTGAGGAGTCCACCACCAGGAGACGAGCCCTCGTTCACAAGCTCATACAGCTCAGACTACGGCTACAGGTTTGACTCTGGCGTACATAACATTGTTTTTGGTGTGACACTTGGAGGGAAAAAGTATCTTTCACAATGATTGTTATGGGTTTTAGTTATACAGGTACACTACTTAGCTAGAGATGGTTAGAAAGAGATAAAAAAAGCTCTAGAATGGTTGGGTGTTGGACTTCATTATGAATTTTATATTATAATTTTTTGGCATCATGGTTCATTAAAATCACTCTGGACTCCCACTCTATGATACACAGACTCAGACAGGCAGGATTGATGGGTTGTTAGGTTGTACAGTATTAGTGTGTGCTGAGCTGGCCATCAGTCATGTTGGTACCCCAGGGCTAAGCTTATTCTTTTCAGCTTGGTGTTGCTAGCCCTCAAATCATAAAGGGTGTTAGTTTTAATCAGCTTATATAGAACTGTAATTTATGTTTTGGTCTTACATAACAGGAAACCCACGATGCCTCTCAGATCGCCTCCACTGGGGTGCTTTTCCGCATGAGTCATCAGCTACAGCCTCAGAAGCCTCCATTAACTCGAACATCAAAACAGTATTGTGACAAGTGTGCGCAGATCATATGGGGAGTCATCCATATATCTTATATATGTGTCTGTAAGTTGCCTCATAGTAAATACTGTATGCTTTTGACGACATCAATTTTATCTAAAAAATTTCCGAACTTGTCTATAAATTGACGATAGTACATGAATGTCTGGTATTACAGAATTAATTTTAATATTAATTTTAATTTATTAATTCACCACCTAACCGATTTACTTACTGTTTGGGCAGTTGGACTGTTCTTTGTTATTACCTTTATTATCCAGTGTTAGAACAAGAGGGAACTGGAGTACCTAGAGAAAACCTGCCATGTTTGGTAAGATCACGCTGGATAACACCCTTCTCACATCTGTCCCAGACCAGGGATTGATCTTAGAACACAGTAGTGAAGGTCAGGCATGTTACAAGACTTTACCCACTATGGTGCAGAGTGAGCAGTATCAAGAGCAGCGCCGCCTCGTCCCTTTCTTAGTGTCGGTTGTCCTCTCTCTTTATAATACACGTACAATATTATCCCTAATTTACAGTGTGTGAGTACCGCTGTCACGGCCGATGTGTGGAAAACATCCAGAGGAGATGTGCCAGTGTGAGGGTGAACGAAGATTCTTGCTACATCTTACGCATCTGTCCTGAGGTTGGGTTGTCAGCACAGAACTACAAGTGTGCAGAGTGCAAGATACTGATCACCAACAGTGAGTTATATTAAGTGTTGTTTGTTGTAGTTGTTGAGTCTTAGTAAGGATTTCTACATAGTTTTCTTTATTACTTGTGTAGTATTATGCTGGTGATGTAGACCTGACCTGTTATTATCAGAAGGATTTTTGTAATCTTCTTGCTCCAACTTGTAAACTTAAGGGACAAAATTGTTTAGAAAAAATTTATAGCAGAATCTGAATTATAAATACTTCTTTGTACTGTTTCACTAGTGGGTATAACGGGTGTGTTCCCTCTAGTCCCGGTCCTAAAGTAAAATAGGATATCCATAAATTATCTGACTCATTTTAAAATTCAATAACTTCAATGTTGTAGATAGATCATGGTTTTATTTTACAGTATTTGGTGATTTTGTCTTGTATTTTACATTACTGTATACTGTATATAAAACTACATCAGGTTGTATGACACAATGATTGATATTACAGTGTTAAGTTGTATGATAATCGTGTGTGAAATCCTTGCTAAGGCTCTGCGTAGATAAATGTGTGGTACTGTTGTGTTGCATGACATTTTTCCTGGGTTTCATGTACGTTAGCTTGATTTAATGTTAACTGTTTGATTCATTCCTCAGTACAATAACTATCACCCTTTTACACTCCCATGTTACCTCTGTTTAACTATTACACTTACACTCTCCCGTGTATTAATGTATTCATAAGGTGCTACTAATATTATCCAAAATATTAAGATTTCTTTGATTTAAATCTCTTCCAAAGTCAACCCTGGCAATAAGCAGATAGAAATCTTCACTTGTTCTGTGATTTGAGATTCAATATTTCACCCAATTTATGGGTTTCCAGGAACCTAACCCATTCATTAAGTGAGGGATACCTGTATTAGATGTGTCAGTGAAAAATAAATTATTATAATTGAAAATGAAATTAATAGTGTCCATAATTAGTAAAAAATGTATGAATTTTTGTTTAAGTCTGATAATTATTTATGTAATAATACAGTCCACATATTGGTGATTATTCCCTATACAAGAGACCCGCAACTCTCTATGTCTGCCACAGTACTTCATCTTGAACTTAATCTGTATTCCTCCTATTTTAATTTATACATCATTCCCTTTATTCCTTAATGTCTATGGCCAAAAATTCCTCATTCAGTTGACAGTCATAATGGCATGTACTGACAGGGAGAGTTTTAAATGCCTGATATGTCTGAGGGGAGTTTGAGCAAGTAGTACCAACTGTTAGTTCTTAGTTACCCCTCTCCTCCCCATCTTTTTTTTTATCATGATTTGCTCAATATATTTTTTGTTTGTTTTAGTTGATTTTGCCCATAATTTAGCACTGATTGCTTTTTTTATGCAAATATTATGCGCTTGTGTGTGTGTGTGTGCACGCCTTGCACATGCGTTTTACATGTTTTGCTGTAGATCATTGGTTTGTTGATCTAATTTTCCATTTTGATTTTTTCAGAGTACACTGTAATAACAAAGAAAGGAAGGAAGTTAAGATGTCAAGGTATTGATACTCAGTACTTGCTATATGATAAGGTACTGGAGTTGTTATGGTAGAATCCTTTTATTCATTTGTTATTTACATTCAGATATTTTATTCAGTCGTAAATTGTATTTATGGTTCTAAATAAAACATCTGAATCTGAATTGTGTATAAGATATGTTATTTGATTTTCAGTATTCTTTATCCCTTTGTTCCTTGTGTATGATTTTATTGTTACTAATAATAAATAATAATAATTAATAATTAATGGTTTATTAAAAAGGTTCAGAAGCCAAAAGGCTGAAAATACACATTGGACAGAAATGACTTATTATATACAGAGACATGGGGTGGGTGGGTCGTTTAACAAAAGTTTTATTAATAAAAGAAGAAGGAACATGAATTGAACATATAAATTATAGTTTACAGCTGATGGCCCGAGCTGGTCTCTTTGCCATACTGTGCGAGGTCACATAGGCCACGTGGTGCAGTAACTCGTCCATAGGTGTTGATATGAAGGACCTGACCTCATGTGGTCATGGAGACACCGGGTAGTGTAGTGTTACAGTACAAGACACTGGGTGGTGTGGTGTGGTGTGGTGTCCACGTGGGGCAGTGACTGGTCCTCAGGTAGCAATATACTTACTGCCACTCATAATAGTTGACATCAGACCAATTAAAGCCATGTGGAATCAATCAAAGGGTCTCGAGACATCCGGGAAACAGTACCCAAGGAGCCAAAACTTGTCTCATTGGTTTACAGTGTACACAAACTTCACAAGTGTGTTGGTGAGTGTGAGACTGTTTTAGTAATGGTGAGAGTGTGTTGGTGAGGGTGAGAGTGTGTTGGTGAAGGTGGGAGTGTGTTGGTGAAGGTGGGAGTGTGTTGGTGAAGGTGGGAGTGTGTTGGTGAAGGTGGGAGTGTGTTGGTAAAGGTGGGAGTGTGTTGGTGAAGGTGGGAGTGTGTTGGTGAAGGTGGGAGTGTGTTGGTGAGGGTGAGAGTGTGTTGGTGAAGGTGGGAGTGTGTTGGTGAAGGTGGGAGTGTGTTGGTGAAGGTGGGAGTGTGTTGGTGAGAAGTGACTGTACAGTACATGATAAACATCCCTTTTGTATACCTTATTTTTACTTGTATTTATGGACAAGAATATTAAAAATGAAAAAGAGGATTCTAACATAATGCTTCTCATACCTGGTTACTTTTATTGTTGTACAGAAGTAGAATTAGAAACCCTAGAATATTATGTTGGAAAAAACTGCACAGTATTTTAGACCAGTGTAGTGTAACATAATTTGTACCCATTACTTAAAATATGTACTGTATTGTATTGTATTTACAGAAGTACTCTGTTGTGTAATGGAGCTTTCTGATTCAGATTGTCGTAAGATTAGGATAATGTGTACTACAGTATTTTTTGTATTGTTTAAGACTGTAATATTGTACAAACTCTAGAATGGAGGTTGTCCATTTGGTGTTCAGGGATCATTACAAAGGTTCATGCTTGTGGGAATCTCATGTCTCATGTCTATCTCACTACACTGGGTTTTGTAATATAGTGGTACAGTTCTGGTCTACTGTATTGCAAGATTCATAAAATAAAATACAGGGTGACCATAAATTTTAGACAGAAGACTCCAGTACAGTATCTGCCAGGTGTCATCTGTCCTGTTGGTTTATCGAGGAACCAATTGTATGACGTTTGTCTGTGCCATCACAACATTGGATGCCACCAGCCTTGAAATTTTTCTGTGATTATCCCTGATGCTGCGTGGTATAGATAACCCAGAGACTTAGGACAGAGGCTTTTTTAATTTAGGTGTAATCAGTAAAATAAACTGAGTGACCCTTCATATTGTGGGCCCCTAAAGTAATGCAAAATAAAACCATCAAACTAAGGAGGAGATGAGTGTGTGTTGTGGCTCTTATCTGATGCTCAATACAGTGGAGATGAAAACTACTGTATAGACTGGAGTACTTATTGATTTTGTACAGAATTATACCATGAACTACTACACAGATGATCCCCCTTAAGAAAATTGCACCGAGTAAGTTTGAGGTCTTGATAATACTCTGATCTAGGACTCTGTGGAGGTTAGGTTAGGTTTTAAAGTTATAATAGATAGGTAGTTTAAAGGTAGAGTAAAGGAGTTCATGCTAGGTGGAGGTAATCTGGTAAATACTTATTGAAGTTTTTGAAAGTATATGAGGTACAGTAGTGTTTGTGACTTAATATACTAATCCTGAGACCTGGAACTAAAGCTAGCACAAACCACATTTAGCCTAAACATACTGTCTGTCTGTCTTTCTTAACCTGACCTAGATTAACCAACCCTTAATATAATCAAATGTAATTTAACTTAAGCTACCCATAACAAAATTAGATATAAAATAATGTAACCTATTCTTAACCTAACCAAATGTAACATAAATTAACCAACCTGTAATATAATCAAATGTCATCTAACAACTTACCTTTAACATAATCAGCTGTAACCTGTCCATACTTGTTGTTGTTATTTAAAAGTTTAGGTCTGGCTCTGTGTACAGGTCCAGGGATTAATTATGCCTCTACAACACACTGTACATATTTGATTATTCCCTAATTATTTATTAACAGTAAGTTTCTTTGACTCATAATTATACTCACACTACAGAGAATATATTGAAGCATTAACTGGTTCATAAGCCCCACTTCTTTATCTTTTTCTGACATTTCCAGAGTACCTCTTGTGGTGCTCGTCCAAATATTTTACATTGGTTTATGTGTGACTAATGACTTGTGTTTTATGTTTTAGCCCATCCAAGGGGTGTTTCATGCCTTGGTGACCCCTTCAAGAAAGGTATAAACTCATAAGTGATGTACAGTTCTCTCTCTGTGACTGACTGCACTCTCTCTTCCAAGGCTTGAGCAATTTTCAACAACAAACCTCTTTAATATCTCTTGACAGTTGATTGATGTAGGCTTTAGAATGATCTTGTATTAAATAATGTTTTAGCCTTACTAAACATAAAAGTTACAACCTTGTGTATATCGTTAGAGAAAACATTTTCATAGTTGTAATGTGAACATTCTGTACACTGTGTGATGTATGAATGAGTGGGACATGTGACCCAGCTTTGTCCCCTCCAGCTGGTCTTATTGCACCACAATCTTAGTTCCAGTTTCCTTGATCTTTTGTTCTGTTTTATTATCCATAATTTCATCTTCATTTATAGTGTGTAGATTAAATACTTAAAGCTCTGGATTTTTTTTTTTTTTTTTTATATAAAGATGTTTCCCAATATGATGCTCTGGGATTCACATGACCTGACTCTTTCCTATTTGCTGTCAGTAATTCATTCATCCTAGCTGTTGTGATGTTCTGCTTCTACATCAAGGCTCAAGGCATCTACTTCATAAAACCTACATCACCACATTCATGTATATCCTGAAAGTATATTTTGTTGGACTGTATCAATGTCTTCCACACTTTATATTTATTCACTTTGTCCAATGAGTCAATTAATATTATACAGTATTCATCTTTTTTTTTTTTTTTTTTGCATTTTAACTCTCCCACACAGTGTCAGAAAGCAAATGGTTACCCCTAGTGTCATGTTCATCAAGTTTAGTGTCATGTTCATCAAGTTGTCATCATCAGTATCAAAAACAGACTTTACTGCATTAAGTTTTCCATCCAAATACACTGTGAGGTGATTTTTGTTGTCAACAGTAGTTTAAGAGAACTGTAGTATTCTTACTCCTCATCACCTGCAGTAATTCACTATAATTTCCACTCATTTGTTGGTTTACTTCTTAGGATCAGTGACAAACTTCCTCCATACAATTGTGATGTTTAAATTAACTTTGCATGTTGGGTCTCTGATTTACCTGTATGGTTATAGAGTTACTGTACCTGACATCAGCTAATTTTGCTATACCAAGAGTTGAGCAAAAGTATCAAGCTAAGGTCCTACTTTTCAAGATTTACTGAGTGAAGTAACTGTTGTTTGGGTGAGGAGATAGTTAATGTAAAATTAAACAATATTTGAAATGTGTTCATCGCTTATATGAGCAAAGAGGTTGGTAAATGCACCATGTTTGGCATTTCCATGACTAAAATTACCACAGAAGAAGGTCTTCAGGTGTGCACTGCTGTCATGTGAGTTTCAGTTCATTGTTTTGAAAATATTATTGCCTTGGTAATACAGTACAGTATACTTGTATGTCATCATCAAAATTAGAAGAAAAATTGTTTAGTTTTGTGTGTTAGTAACTCATTCTGAAGATTTATTGGGCATAACAAATGGTATTTCTCCTAGTCACCAAGTTTCAGCTTTTATGTTGATCTGTTGAGTAATACTTACATGTATGAATGATACTGTGATATTGTTTATATAGAATGTACTGACAACTCCTCACTAGATGTTCATGCCTGTGATTTTTTCTTCTGTGGTGATTCCTATACAGTACTGTACAGGGTGATAACAAATTATATTTCTGATTATAAACAATTATCATGAAAAACTAACAAAGCTTCTTTTTCATGTGTGGGAATGTAAATAAAGGAAGTTTTTGTTCTACCAATGCCAGCAACTTTGGGAAATCAGAAGGAGGCTGTCAGAAAAGTTTAATATGATACTGTATGCTCTAAAATGTATGGAGGGAAACAGAGTACCACTTTAATATCTGCCGAGCCACAAAATGAACTCACATTGAACTTCTTAAGGATACAAAAAATGTGTTCTTGTCTAGTATATCATGTTTTTTGCTGTAGTTTTTACAGCTTTTCATAATAAAATTTTTAAATTGAGATCATCTGTAATCACCCAGTACTGTATGTTAAGATGGCAGTGACTCCGGCTTTATGTTCATGTTGATGTACCTGTGGTGGTAAATAGTAGTGACTCGCTTAACTCTGTCCTCATCAAAGAAGGCTCCAAGGACCTCAGCTTATAAGCCAGCATGCCACTGTCCTGAGGATAGTCTGTATGTTATTGCTAAAACATTGTGAAGCAAAACAAATAAAACAATCACAAGTTGCTCTTCCTTTAAGCATGCTACTGCACAGCTTTTTGGCACATTATTTTTTAGTTGACTTTTTAGTTAAGTGTTTGTAACTATAGTAAATGCATGTACATTTATCTTTTCATATATTTCAGATTAATTACAGAATTATTGATATATATTGTACAGTATAGTAGCTATTTTGAGATATTTTCAAAAGTGTTATTATACAGTGGTAAGATAAAATGTTTGTCATGAAAAAATCTATTGCATATTAAACTAGGGTCTTGGGTCTTGGCTATTTTGTGATATTTGGCAGATACTGAAGAGTCCAGTACTGTACTGTATCAGATAAGTAGGAGGAAGGGAAGGGGAGCGGAGCGGAGGGGTTGCTTTTTCAGCGTTAAGTTGTTTTGGGTAAACAGGTGTATGGCGGTAGTTGTGTATGATATCCCACTGTTGATACCAGTTTATGCCACCAAACAATGATATCAACTGTGGGATATTATATATAAAATCACTGTTGTTCAATGGTAGATAATGGTACAGTATTACAATGGGTGTTAGGCTGTTGATGTACACACAGTGAAGCAACTCATCTCATCCTGTTTATTCTGACAGAAAATGCCTGGTGTGAACCGAGACGATGCGACTACACGGGCCTACATTACTGCCCTGCCTGCCACTGGAACTCCCGAATGGTAATGCCAGCGAGGGTGATACACAACTGGGATTTTGAAGAGCGACTTGTGAGCAGACAGGCCAAGCAGTTCCTCTTGCTGATGAAGAACAGACCAGTACTTCATATGGAGAAACTAAACCCTCACCTCTTCAAGTTTGTTGAGGAACTTAGTACAGTGAAGGTATAGTAGAGGGGAAGATTCCAGCAATTATGAATCTCATGAAGATTAAGAACCCTGGCTTATTACACCTATTCATTAAACACCCTAATATTAAGTGGGGGGGGGTGTATTTTGTCTTCTACTGTAATAATTGTCTCTCACAAATAGGTATTTTACTTGAAAGTTAATATAATACTGTGTTGATACTCCGTCTCTTTCAGAAACTACGGGAGGATCTTCTCGTTATGAAGCAGTACTTGGGAACTTGTCGCACTGCACAAGAATCTCGGATGCTTCGGCAACTAGAGGAACGCCAACACTTTGTGGAGAACGCGTTTATGTTCTCCTTACAAGACCTGGTGGATGTCAACTCCGGGGTGTTAGTGGAGTACCTCAAGAAAATTCACAATAGTTTCTCTTCTCATATTAAGAAAGAGTGTTTGGTAATTATTTTTCTTGTTTGGGTTCTCATAGGTTACACACTGAAGGAAAATTAACATTTTCTTTTTTCTTTTTTAACCGATCAGTGAGTAGCTTTTATCCTTTCGTACATGAACATTAAACTGACTCTTTCCTCTTGTGTTAATTTCTCTGCCATCTTTGTTGACTTGTATCAATTATCTCACATAAAAGACAAGAAAAAGAACCTTAACTTTTCTATGGTGTACAGCCTATAAGACTCCCTGTATATTAACATAGAGCTTAGAAATGATTGTTTAGAAGTTCACATTGATCACATACAGTACAGTACTTGAAGTTTGTCCAGTTGGAATCTGTGGAAGAGCAGATGTGGTGGCTAAGAATTAATTTTATTTACAGCATATTCAGGTTAAGAATATGAGTACATTACATGTAGGTATTTCTATTTGTTGCCCAAACTCTTTTCTGTTACTTACGAACACTTGTATTGTAATATATATTTTTTTCTTTTTATTTCACCCTAGTTCTTTGAGACCTCTGTACCCTTGACCTGCTTGATATGTATGTGGAAGAGGAGCATAAATAATTGACACATGGATAGATATATAGATACACGTTTTATCATAATATATTTTGCTCTAACATGTTGTTAAAATGAAGATTGTTTTGATATTGGGAGTATACTGTAGTATTTTTCATTAGTATGCAAGATTTATTCAAACGAATATTTTTGTTCTTCAGGTGTGCCAGGGGAAGGGATACATTTGTGAATTATGTGACGGGAGTGAGATAATTTTCCCCTTTGATGGCGGCGTTGTCGTGTGTACCGGCTGCTCCACGGTCTTACATCACCTGTGTTACACCTCTCGCAGCAGCAAATGTCCCAGGTGTGCACGGCAGGAAGCAAGACGGAAGCAGGAATCGACTGACAACTTGTGTACATAAGTTAAGGAATAGTTTTTTATGCCTTTATCTATAATTTCATGTAAAAACAGATGATTTGTATGAGGTGCTCGAGGAAACAGTGACAGATACTCCCAAATCATCTTTTTGAATAATTACAGAAAACATATCCCTAAACGTAGACTAAATTTCATATCTCTTGACACCAGTTTCATCGTCGCCGTTTCATGGGTGAGGGAGATATATTACTGTGCTGTACTGTGCACGGATAATATATGATGCTAATATTGGCCGTGATTATTCTATCTCAAAAAATGATCCTGGTGTATTCGTCACTGTTGCCCAGAGCGTCTTATATGAGGTAATAATTATGGTATGTGGCAGTTTTGTGATATACTGGTATTTGTTGATTTGACTACAAATTCAAGTATCAAAACTTACATTGTAAATGTAAAAAATTAAAGCTTTATTTGTCATAGTGTATGGTATGCATGATTAGTAACTTAATTGGAGTACAAATATATTTAAATGCAATTTTCTGTAATAATGAAATACAGGTACAGTACTGTACTGTTCATTTTAGCCTTTGGGGATAAAGCCTTAAAGAATGTAGCTATCCCCCATAACTCTGCTCATCTCTGAAAACAAAGGTGGTCCATGGCTTAGTTGGTAACACTGTACGGTACTTCCAGTCCTTGAAACATGTGGTTAATACCACAACCAGGGAGGGAAGGAGGGCTGGTGTCTACTGACCTGCCCAACATCCACATCAAACCCCAGGATAAGCTAACTCTTCTTGCCTAATGTTACTACTCTTTAAAAAGGATGAAATATATGTTAGTAGATAACTACAGCTGTGGAGAAGAGATTATAACTCCCTTATTTAGGTGTTAAGTATTAAGACCTTTGTTATTGTTTACCAGCATCTACCCCAACAACTGGCAGTCTAATTCTCCACCACATTACAGTAAAAACAATTCCTGGGTAATGGCTGAAATTTTTACTTAAAATCTTCTTAAAACTTTGTCATGATATAATTGTTTACAATATTATAGAATTTTTAATTTAGAATATTCTATTGGAGTTCTTTGTTAAACTCAAAGTTGGTGAAATGTATTGTGTTTACTTTATAGTCATTATATTCTTTGAAGGAAAACCTTATATTTTCTTGTTAGATTATTTATCAAGACATCTGAACTAATGTACCATTGCATTGAGTCATCTCCCTCCATACACATTTGCTTATCACACATTAATGTTCGTCTGTGTGTGAATGTACGCTTATTTATATGTATCTTTCTATATATGAGTGTCTGTATGTACTGTATCTCTGTCTCTCTAATTATTTTTCTATCTATTTTTCTATATGTCTATGTGGCATCAATACAGGTTGCTATATAACCATAATATATCAAACTCTATCGATTTATTCAAAATATTTTCCACCAAGTTAAGCGGCTTAGCCCAAGTGACTGCATGTAGGGCCTCTGACAGGTAGTGACTGATTCATGGGATAATATTGTAAGTTGTAGCTTTGTCTGGTGATTGTGTGTGAACTACTACTTATTTAGTAGGAAGATTTATGTAAGAGTACTGTTAATGCGGAGTCAAGCCAGGAAGAAGTCATGGGGTCCATATGTGTGTGTGTGTGTGTGTACTGTATTGTTGATCATGAAGGTTGAAAAATTGTCTTGGTTTTGTTACATAAATAATACAAATACTGTATTTAATTGTCTTGGTTCATTTACATTATAGGAATATTTCATTGTCTTGGTGCTGTTCAGAATTGTTTTATTTGTGATTAAATTGATTATGGTTCATCAATCTGGTTAATAATAAATGGAAAATCTGAGACCAGTAAAATGTACAGTATTGTTTTGTAAAAAATATTTTTGTATTGTGGATAAACATTTTGTGTGTGAAACATACAGACGTTTGTAGCAGATGTGACTAGGGTTGATGTGACACCTTTTTATTTTAGGCCTAATGTGGAAGTGTCTGATCTCCAAAAAAAAATTTCCTAAAATATTATTAATGCTAAACCTGTGGTTAAGGATCTTACCCTTCATCCCCCATATGTGTAAAAATGGAATGTAAAGAATGTAAAACTTCTACTGATGATGGCCACTGTCCCAACACCTATGGTAACTTCTACTGATGATGGCCACTGTCCCTACACCTATGGTAACTTCTACTGATGATGGCCACTGTCCCTACGACTAACTCCTACTGACTCTAAAATCTGGTTCCTTATTTTATAAAGATTACTTTCAGTGGTTCCTGACCCCAAGGTTCATCCACTATAAATGATATTAAAAGTAATGTGCAGTAGCATTTGATATTATAAATTTTGAGGCCCTCAAACAAGTGGGTCGAGAGTCAAGCAAGTACAGGTATAGCCCTTATTTTATTTTTTTAGAAATGGCTCTAGCAGTGTTATGTATAGTTAAATATACTGTTCAATATATGGAAACATTATGGTATTAGGCTTTAAGGGAAAAGATACAGCTAACAAAAATTGTTTACCATGTTTATTTTATTTTATACTTTATCATTTCACCACTTATCAGCTCACTAGCCACTTGGGCAGTTGGTCTGTTCTTTTTCCCGTGCTATGACCCTTATTGACAAGACTTAGTACAGGAGGAAACTGTAGTACCGAGAGAAAACCTGCCATGTCTGGTAGTGTCACACTGGATAGTACTGTACCCTTCTCACAGCTGTCCTGGGTCGGGGATTGAACCCAAGACATATCAATGAGAGATACACACGTTGCTGCTGGACCACCAACCCTCAAATATCATTCCCGCTCTTTGTTTATAACTATAATAAACTACCGTATTTACTAAGTGTCATTAGAAGAATATAACTTAATTATCTTTTATTGTACTGCACCAGATATTGAATTTCTTGGCAGTGACACATGTTTATCTCCCCTCATTACCTCACTGATAACCATTATGTGAGCAAACTGAACCTTAATGTTTGTCCTTACTGTCTCCTGCCTGTGGGTCCACCCTATGTGGCTCTGCTGGGTGTAAAAAAATAGATAAAATTCCAGTCTCATAGGGTAACACTTGACACTTCCTCATACCGCACTAACAGGTGCTAGTGCTTGCATGGTTTCCTTTCAACATACACACTAACTCTGTGCCAGGAAGGACCGGTTGTTAAGTCTTGTTTACCAGAAACTGAGTCATTTAACAAAACTTTCGTATTTCTAATATTGAAGTTATAAAACTTCTCGGATGACTGGTGCTTCTCTGTTCGTGTTATTAATTTGGCCAGAGTATAATATATCAGGGATCACTACAGGATAAATTCGAGGACAGCATCGTCTAATTGAGTGTATTTTATTACATTCTGGTGAAGGCTCTTGCTGTACATCCAGACCTTTATTTGTTTTTCCTAAAGGAGTCATCCCTATGAAGTGATAATACTGTACTGTATATGCAAACTAAATTAAACAAAACATCACTTATTTATTGCCTGATAAATAGACAAAGTATAATAATTGCTTATATACTAATAGAGGCAGTCATCGTTAATCATCACCAATATATATATATATGCAAAATGAATAAATGAAATGAAAAAGTTTAACTGATATTAACCTGAGAATCAAGCACAGAGGAGCCACATGCTTTAACCCCTCGTGGTGGTCCCTCTGTAACTACTGTGGAACCCAAACTTTTCATCATTTTTGTTTTAATTAATGTGTATATTATAAGAAAACTTGAGAACCCTGTGATATTTTATTATGGAACATAGACTCTTAGATTACCTCTGTGTATTGACAACTGTTTATTTGTTATTATAAGCACTCTTCCTTTCATAGTTCAACCTTTTTATTATTTTTGTTTTTAAGTCATCAAAATTATATTGTTCAAAACTTAAAGTGATGTTGATGATGAAATTGTTTATTAGTCAAAGTTTTATATAAAGATTCAAGTTGGTTTTACCCTCAGATATTGAACCTCTTATTTTATTGTTATTATTAAACATTATTAAACGAGTTTCAGATGTGACAAGTTTTTAATTACACTTATGAAACAAATAATAATAATAACTGGTCAATAAACTTTTGTAATTTTAATAGTTTATCTGATTGAAGAAGATGAATTTTTTATGTGTATTTATACTGTCCTGAAATGGTAGTTCAACTTAGTGTGTATTGTCAATTGATATGAAGCATTGCAAGTAAGATTACAATGTCTTCAGTTACCTAGTTTGTATAAGAGAAGAATAAGGAGTGATTCAAGAGAAGTACGGCAAATAAACACCTCAAAGGAAATTACTCATCAGTGTCTGGGGCGTAAGCGAGGGAGGTGCCCGACAGGTGGGAGCAGCCGGGACGCCGTTGCTAGGTTACCCTCCCAAACACACCCACCTCTCCTCCTCTCACAACCATGTAATTATTTTTAAAAGTCACACATATCAGCTAAATTCTACCTTAACTAAAATTATTCTTGGTACCATTGGCTTAGTTTATGTTTAGTTTGAGTTTGTGTTATCTAGGAGAAACATATAATGCATGGCTTTAGTGGTATTCTTAGTTGGTTATGATTCTGGCCATCTCCCTGTTCCACTTCCATTATGTACAGTATATTTAGTCTCCTTCCCTCCACTATGAATGTTTATCCTCTCTCCTTCCTCCTTTATCTCCTAGAATATCAATCTCCATCCCTTCCTCCCTCTACCTATATCCCATCGACCCAGTTATCACCAGTAGATAATGACGCCTCTTGATCTTACACTTCTCCTCTACTCCAAAATATTTTAAGTTACTGTGAATATCTTTGCTTAAGCTTCCCTAATTAAAAATATGAATAAAGTATAATTGCCATATTTATCAGGTTGTATCAGTAATTCACAGAAAGTTCTCTCAGTTTTTAATTACTGGTTGAAATGTTTAATTACTAATATTAGTTGTTAATTGTTAAAGCGTAGTAATAAGTAACATTATAGCGTCGACAACTTCAATCAGTTGTTGACGTACGAAGTGTTCACGTCTTTATGGTATCTATAATATTAACAGCACGTAGACACCTAATATAATAACAATATCATGGGTAATGAAAATGTGAGCATATAGTGTAACAATCACAAGGAATATTATATGAGAATGAATAATGGTCAGAAACACATTGATTTCAGGTATTGCAAGTTGCTAATGTTAAAGATGTCCCACGAATATCACCGGTAAACTATTTATATTTTTTGTAATTCAAATAAGACATATCAATCCTAGCTTATACTAGATGATGCATTATGGCTAGGTAAGGGTATATTTGGTAGGATTTTGTAGTGTGAAGTTATGGAAATTAAAGATTAATGGAAACATGTATAAAACGGCTTTCTCATTCTGTCCTTAATTGAATCAACTTATTGTTTACCATTACATGTATACCTGCACTGTCTTTGTACATAATGAACTAATGCAAATTAACATGGACGACTTTCCTAGATAAATATTTAGACATTTTCTTTTCCTCGATCGTGGTATTCCATTTAACATTAGATATTTTGCTCACTTGGAGGATAATGTATGCGGTACGACAGTTTGGGTAACGTGGTGGGGGGAGCAGCATGTGTTGGCTCACCTGTGTAGTGGTGATGGTGATGGTAACAACTCGCTCTATATTCCTGGCTGGCCCTCAACATCTTTCAACCAACATCAACAGCACATATTTGGCCTTGACAGTGTTTTTTTTATTATTGTAACTGATAAAATCTGTAGAGTCTGTAGTACGACTTAATAATGAAAATGTGTACACCGAGGAAAGGTCATGTGTGTATATATAGGTAATATATTATGTGTGTGTGTGTGTGTTTTATACATACTGTGTTTATCACTAACAAGAAATAACAATACACGTAACCATGTTTGCAATATGGTGCTTCGCTTACCTAATTAGCTGATCGATAACAGATGCTAACCTAACCTAACCTAGCATAACCTAACCTAACCCAAACTAAACTAAAAACTAACATAACCAAACATGAGAGATCTATGAGTGCTATGAAAACCCATGAGGATATTAAGTGAGTTGTGAGTGATGAGTAATGAGGGACGAGATGTGGTGGCCAGGGATGGTGGTGATACTGGTAGCTGGTCCCCTGTTCGCCCTCCCTCCTGTACACGCACACATCCCAGGTTAGTTAATATTGTATGTGTTTTTGTTATATTGTATCTGTATTTTCTCTTAAAACATTGACACAAATCATCAACTTTATATAATTCACTTAAAATTTTGGTTAGGTTAAGATTGGTGTTTTTTGCTTCATAAATCACTTTCAATCGTGTTTATTCTGTTCTCCACCTTCAGATTTATTCCGTGTTTCACCTTCAGGTTTATTCCGTGTTCCACCTTCAGATTTATTCCGTGTTCCACCTTCAGATTTATTCCGTGTTTCACCTTCAGATTTATTCCGTGTTCCACCTTCAGATTTATTCCGTGTTCCACCTTCAGATTTATTCCGTGTTCCACCTTCAGATTTATTCCGTGTTCCACCTTCAGATTTATTCCGTGTTCCACCTTCAGATTTATTCCGTGTTCCACCTTCAGATTTATTCCGTGTTCCACCTTCAGATTTATTCCGTGTTCCACCTTCAGATTTATTCCGTGTTTCACCTTCAGATTTATTCCGTGTTCCACCTTCAGATTTATTCCGTGTTCCACCTTCAGATTTATTCCGTGTTCCACCTTCAGATTTACATTTCAGGATCTATATTGTACACTGAAATACCTCTACAACCCGTACAACAATATGCACGGGTGTTGCGGAGCTAAACTGAACATTGACTAGACCGTGTTCTGCCGTAGGTCGTACCGCAACTGTAAGTGCTACTGTAAAATCCCCCATCTAACCAACTGCAGTAATTGTCAGCTGAATTTCAGAGTTTGTGATTACATTACAACTAAACATAACTGTCTGGCCAAATCCAAAGACACTCTCTCTCTCTCTCTCTCTCTCTCTCTCTCTCTGTGATGACGTTGGTTACTACAGTATTAATGAAACACATGTACTGGCTCTCTCTTGGGTGTTCATATATGCTCCCTCAGCTCCCCGGGGTCACATAACAACATGCACCACGGAGGGTTACCTCACGCATGAGTGTATTGATGACGCGGGGTAATTATACAGTCGGACTTTTGGCGTATACGCTGACACTACAGTACTCAGCCGTCACCATGAATGAACCAAGTGGATATTTTCTCCAGTCTAAATCATTTTGTTATCTCTGTATTAGTGATTACCGCCAATTTTTTGCTTTTATCTATACTTATATCTTTACCTATATACAAGTCTGTAATTGTGTGTCCACCTGTAAATGTGTGTGCGTCTGTAAATGTGTGTGCGCCTGTAAATGTGTGTGCGCCTGTAAATGTGTGTGCGCCTGTAAATGTGTGTGCGTCTGTAAATGTGTGTGCGCCTGTAAATGTGTGTCCTGTAAATGTGTACGCCTGTAAATGTGTGTGCGCCTGTAAATGTGTGTGCGCCTGTAAATGTGTGTGCGCCTCGTCTGTAAATGTGTGTGCGCCTGTAAATGTGTGTACGCCTGTAAATGTGTGTACGCCTGTAAATGTGTGTGCGTCTGTAAATGTGTGTACGCCTGTAAATGTGTGTACGGTAAATGTGTGTACGCCTGTAAATGTGTGTACGGTGTATGTAAATGTGTGCGCCTGTAAATGTCGCGTCTGTCTTATAAATGTGTGTAATGGCCTGTAAATGTGTGTGCGTCTGCAAATGTGTGTACGCCTGTAAATGTGTGTGCGTCTGCAAATGTGTGTACGTCTGTAAATGTGTGTACGCCTGTAAATGTGTGTGCGCCTGTAAATGTGTGTACGCCTGTAAATGTGTGTGCGTCTGCAAATGTGTGTACGCCTGTAAATGTGTGTGCGTCTGCAAATGTGTGTACGTCTGTAAATGTGTGTACGCCTGTAAATGTGTGTGCGTCTGTAAATGTGTGTACGTCTGTAAATGTGTGTGCGCCTGTAAATGTGTGTACGCCTGTAAATGTGTGTGCGTCTGCAAATGTGTGTACGCCTGTAAATGTGTGTTTCTGTCATTGTGTGTGTCTTTATTGTCTTCTATTTTCTAAGTAAATGCTCCCGGGGGAGGAGTTAGGTTAAGTTAAGCTTTGTATGGTTATGTCGCCTTTCTTATAGAATGGTGTTACTCTGGTATATTTATACTCATCTGGTACAGTGCTAATGGTGTTATTGGTGTCATTAATATAGTGGCACCATCATTCAAACACTTGGATGGTTAGGTTAGGTCCTGTTGGCGGATGAGAAGGTGTAAGCGGTATCCCAAATAATAAATGATTCTTGGTGCATCTCCTCATACCAACACAGTCGATTTATTGACTCTATGACGACACTGACGAATACACAGTCTAATCACCCATTCATTATCCCCCCAACACCTTCACTACTGTTATTGTGGCTCCCCTACCGTATGTGGAGGGGAGCTTTTTGTGGCCGCGACGGGTATACTGTATATTGTCATGCTGGAGGTATGGGTTCTCGCCCTTCCAGTGTGCATGGCGACTTGTGATTCGCCTCTATGTAACAGGTCTCTTCTCTGCTTCTTTGTGTATCCATCGTTTAGAATACAGGTTAGGTTAGGTTAGGGCACAGAAGAGTGAAGTTAGGTTAGGGCACAGAAGAGTGAAGTTAGGTTAGCTTAGGTTAGGGCAGAGAAGAGTAAGGTTAAGTTAGGTTAGGTTGGGGGCAAAGAAGAACGAGGCTAAGTATCGGTTAGGTTTGGTTCTAGATCGGGATATTACTGAGTCCTGGTAATAATGGTTTAGGCTAGAGGGAGACAGCGACCACTAGGCTAGGTAATGACGGACCTCAGTCACGGGGAAGCAAATTAAGGTTACGGTAATTACTCGTGGACAATAATGACCAGTGTCTTCACGAACCTGCCAGGGTATTTCCTCTTTAATGAACCACAGTTGTTTGGTTTGTGTGTGTCCCATTGGCTGACTCACTGATACCCGGAACCGGACACGACATTTAACCTTATTTAACCATACCCTATGTAATTTACTATACCCCTAATAAGCAGACCTAACCTAACCAATTCTGATCAAACTAACCTTTAACCTAACCTAATCTGATCTAACCAACTTCTAACCTAATTGAACTCGATCTAACCTACCCATAACCTAACCTAACTTACCTAACCTAAGCTTATTTAATATTATAGAGTAATATCAATATTACCTGATAACGCGTGACCATGGTGCCCCGGAGCTCCAGTAATGCTCACAGAGGGACGGATGATAATTACATTTAAAACATTTTTTTGAAACTAAGTGTACAGATTTATACATACGGTACGGTAATGCCCATGTGATAGTGGTGGAATACCTAAATTAACCAAGATGTTAACATTAATAAACCCAGCTTAACCTCACCATCAGGACAGGACGCTCTCCGGTAATCCTTCCTGCTACGCTTTGAATCTCAGGGATGCGGAAAAGTATTAATTTTTCCTAAGCTGGATATGGGAGAACCCGTCTAACTGGTTCACTTGAAGTACGACACAAAATTGGACTCTCAAACATACACACGCTAAGTTTCCTCGTAGCTAATGTGAAAACTTGGTTTGAATTTATATAACTTGACAGGAATATTGGTGTCCTCAAGCGCCCGGACAAGGTCTCTTTTAACTTAGGTGTTGAGGACGTGGGGTGTAGCTCGCGTGTTCGACCTTATCAGAACACACACACGCGGCTTCCAGGTTGATGATGTTATCATAACTTCAACTTCCTCGTGCGCAATGTCTCTTTTTCTGTTTCTTTGGGCGCAGTCCTGTATTCAGTTCCGGCAGCAGTACAGTAATGCGTGTGTGGCATGATGTGCGCTTATTGGTTCATGCCCACAATGACTTGCTGGTATTTCGTACTCTTATTGGCCCATCCCAACCATTTGCTGGAGTACCGTGCGCTAATTGGTCAGTATACGCACATGACGTACACTAATTGGTGGTGGTTCGTCATGACTGAGTAGGTCTTCCATCATGTGAGTCAGGGGGAAGACACGTCATCTCTTGATCTCAAAACCATTAATATATTCTGCTTATACCTTTTTGGGTTTAAAGCTAAAGCTGAGTATTGAAGTGCGTGACATTTCTAAGGTGGATTTGGTAAGATTTCATTAGGTTAAAAGTGCATTTCGGTTACATTAGTTTGGGGTCGTGGTGGTTAGTTGGGCTTTGTTCGGTTAGATTTGGTTTGTTAGGTTAGGTATATTTGGTGATTGCTTTAGAAACATGACGTCACACTTCAAAATCAATCACAGCCTGATTGTACCAGCTGGGGTTACTTAGTGCAGCATCACCACCAAGCGGCACGTCGCGCCCCGGAAGTGTGAGTGAGGCGGCGGTAGAATGGGCGGATGTTCTTGTGAATGGACGAGTAACCAGCTGCACTTGTTATTGTTTATCTTCTAACTCTTGTGCCGCTGTGTGCTTACGTTTCCGGATTAAGAACCTCGGTGAGATAAACTTACAACTGTTTTCTTGGTCCACCTTTGGTTAAATCAACTTAATGTTTGTTATTGTTTGTATACTGTACTGTACCTGCACGGTTTGTATACTACACTCGGTAAAATAAGTACAGCATCTGGCAAGAGAGTCTCATGAATTTTCAGGTGAACAAGTCACATGTGAAGCTATCAATGCGAGGTATATGCCTCGTGGGTCTTTATTAAAAACCTTCATTCGAGGTGTTGTTATTTTGTTTCACACAGTACACTATGAATCATTCTGAGTTTGCTTGACGATTTTTACTACAATCCGCCATTGAGTTTCCTTATTTTGTTTTTATTCTAATAGGATTTGACAAAACAAAACGTGGAAATAACAACAGCATGAATACAAGCCTTTTAAAATTTATTGATAAATATTATCGTATTAAAATGATAATTTTACTTAGCGAGTCTCATGAGCCGCTGTGCTATTATTTCCGCCACTCAAGGTCTGAAATCACAGCCTTTATAATTTCACTCAATTTATTAAACTTGCTATGAAAATATACATAACAAATACAGCAAACTAAAAAAAAAGATAAATAAATATAATAAAAATATGCCAAAAAATATACAGTAAATAAGTAGTGTAGAAACTATGAATACAATA